TTTTTTAACCCATGGAAACCAACTTCTGTCTGTGGGTCTACATGGTGGTAAGAAGAATGCTCACCCTGGTGAATGGCCGTGGAGGGAACCAGGAGCCGGTTGAAGATGGAAAAAGGCACGAATGAGAGAGAATTTTTAGCTTTTAGGGTTTGGGGCTAATTAATTAAATCACGTATGGACCATTTTGGAAGAATTATGGCTCAGTCTAATCCATTTAAGGCTCAGTCTAATCGCCATCAAAACTTACAACATTCAACGGGACCAGACAGGGATGTCCTCTCTCCCCCCTTCTTTTTGTCCTGGCTATGGAACCCCTTCTTCAGGCAATACGCAGGCACCCAAACATCAGCGGGGTCACGGTAGGGGGGGAAGAATTCACTGTCTCTGCCTATGCAGACGACGTCCTTCTCACTGTGACGAACCCACTTGAGTCAATAGCTGCACTGCAGAGAGTCATACAAGAATACGGGGACCTGTCCGGATATAAGGCCAACATCCAGAAAACCGGGGCGATGTCTATAGGCCTACCGGCGGCCGAGGTAGCTCTGATAAAGGAAAAGCACCGCCTGCGGATGGAACCGAACTCCTTAAAATACCTAGGAGTCCACTTGACGGCAGTTCCTGATCGACTTTATTCTAGCAACTACGATCCCATGCTACGGACTCTAATGGGAGATCTAGAGAAATGGTCGGATAAACCTATATCTTGGTTGGGGCGTATTCACTCTGTAAAGATGAATATCCTACCGCGCATATTGTTTCTCTTCCAAGCCCTCCCTACCCGCGTCACAAAATCTCAACTACTGCCGCTACAGAGAGCGATCTGTGACTTTGTATGGCACAATAAGAGACATAGAATAGCCAGACAAATCCTGTATAGGCGAAAAGACAGAGGGGGACTGGGGCTCCCAAACCTGTACTATTACTACTTGGCGGCCCAACTCTCTCAGGTGGCCATGTGGCACTCCCCTGTGGGGGAAAGGAGATGGGTGGAAATTGAATCTTTGATGGTAGGCCTCGATGTCCCCCAATTTACGATATGGGTCCCGAAAGAACACAGACCCATGATAAGGGTGACGTGCCCAGCCATCCTTAACTCTCTTCGATTATGGGATGCGAACAGTGCCAAATTTGGACTCGCTTCATCCCCCTCCCCTATGGCTCCGATACTCAGAAATAGAGAGTTTCCACCTGGTATGGCCCCTAGGAACTTTCGAAATATAGAAAAGACTGGGCTACAGCGGATTTACCAACTATATAGAGAGGGGGATGTTATACCCTTTCAAGCCCTCCAACAACATACCCACCTGACTCCAGCAGACTACTTTAGATATGTCCAGATAAGGGACTTCGCTAGAAGACCCCGTATTAAAGCTGCAGCCCAGGGACAGTTTACTTTTTACGAGAGGCTATGTAGAGAGGGATCAGCCCCCAAAGGAATGATTACGCTTCTGTATGCCCATCTCAGCACGGAGACTAAAAAATGGGGAAGATTGAAATACACTGATAGATGGGAGTCGGACCTGGGGGAGGAACTGGAAGGAATCGAATGGCAGGAGATCTGGGAGACAACCAAGAGCGCTTCGATATGTGTCACGCAACAGGAGCAGGCATGGAAAACCATGCTCAGGTGGTATACTACTCCGATAACCTTGCACAAAATGCACAACATAGATACTGACGAATGCTGGAGGGGTTGCAGATTCCGAGGCACGTACCTCCACATGTGGTGGGAATGCCCGAAAATCCGCGGTTTCTGGAAGTCTGTTGAAGACCTCTTGAAGCAGACGTTTGGCAAACCCCTGGCCTTGGACCCATGGATCTACCTGTTAAATAGATCTATTGAGGGATGGACGAGAAGAGAGCAGAAACTGGTACGGGCGATAACTTTAAGTGCACGCAGAGCTGTGGCAACGGCGTGGTTGTCACCTGGAGGCCCGGAGTTTGGGGGAGTGATCTCTAGGATAAAGGAAAACAGAATCATGGAAGATCTGACTGCTAGATTAAGAGGAACAACCGTAACTTTCCAGAGGGTTTGGGAACCATGGGACAATAGTGCAATGGGCTCTGGTCAAGATTGATGGGCCGAATATATAGTTTAAATCGGGATCCGACACTGCAAGGTCAGAGTCGGAATGAAATACCTCAGCCTCGATGGGAGGCAAGTTATATGGAAACTATAAAGTGGCTTGCCATAGGGGCCGATGTTTATTTATATGTCTATAAATATGCTATTTATATAAATATGTTTATTAAATATGTTTATTTATATGTCTAGTTAATATGTCTATAACTCCAAGTTGTATTATTCTTGCATTGCCTATCGTGTGCAAAAGTAAAGAATAAAAAAAAAAAAAAAACTTACAACATTGATGGTGCATAGAGCTCGGTGAGTTGCTTAGAACTGCAGCGATTTGTAAAAATAACACAGCTCTAAGCCGGACCTTCAGAGATGTCAGTCGCCAGCTGGATCTCTCATTTCTGGCTGCCTGATATCAGTTTTGTCCATACTTAACAGCTATGGACTGAGCTCAATCTCCTACCCAGAGATTGAGAGCCAACCTGCGCACTGTACATGCGCAGACTGTGGCTCAGCCAATGGCTGCATGCAGGAATCTTAATGCTGGAGGGAGAGGGATCCGGGCACAGAACATATACAGAACCACTGACTGGACCCCCCTGGACACATTCATACATAACCTCCCATGTAGACCACATGCACCCGACCAGGGTGTAAACAGTGTTAATATTGAACCTCTGGTACACAGGGTTTTGTCAATTACCTGTTTATTTGAGCAACAAAATGTGTTAGATCCAACCAATCAACATTTTGACCTTGGGTCTTTAAGATCTAGAATAAGACCATTAGAGGTCAAATGTTGATCGGTTAGATGTAACATTTTGTTACAGGAAGAAAAAAAACGCAATTTCAAGATCTGCGAGTGCACCCCTTTTTATTATATTATACTATCACTCTACTATCACCCAGGGGGTTCAACAGGTATGTGGGGAGGGGATGGATTTAATACCTCCGCATGCATGGCAGGTCATCTTAGGTCTACATGACACTGGATTCTGGCATTCGGACACTAGACCCCCAAAGACACAAGGGACTTGCATGGTTCAAAGCTGTTCAAAAACTAGGGGGTCAATTCCCCCACTGTTGCCGACGAGCCTTTGGGTAGCGAAGTTATAATAGTTTTAGTTCACGCACTGCAGAGTTTAGGCAGCTCAGCTTCAAATAGTTCTACAGGCTCGCACGTCTGCAATCACAGAACACAAAATCACTACTTTCTAACATTCTTCTAACTGCCCCCCTCCTATCACACCTTTTGTTTTGAAATTATGAATTTTTCAACACGTCTCCGTAACTCCCACTCAGTTGTGTCATGCAATTTCTCTTCCATCTGTTTCTGTTTAGTCCAAATAGATTTGTTGAGATACAGATCAACAGTAATCCACAGCCAAAACGTTACTGAATGCTATTTGTGTTTAAATAGTTTTGCCTACATCAATAGCGGAATTAGTAGCTATTTCATAACAGGCTCATCATGCAAAATATCCTGTGTTTGGTCTTGAAATTGTGCTGTGTATGTATGATTTACAGGTTTTAATACTTTTATTTAGCATTTTACAATGACCTACAAATAGTAAGAATCAGTAAAAATAAAAAATATTTAAATCAAAATTTAAATTGCAAAAATTCTACAACTGTTATTTTGGTCTCAAACCTGCATAATTTGTATATATTTTCAGATCTAGTGAATAAACACACTAGTTTATCACTGGTTTAGTAACACACAGAGCTTTCCATTAGACACCGGGAGGATAGAGAATGCATGTTGCTTCTAATGTAAGTTATTGAGTTGAATCAAACCACAAGGTAACAACGTCAGACGTGTCTTTTTTGCTCCTACAAGAAAAACATTATCTCTGTGGCTCCGAACCTTCCCTTAGCAGCTTACTGCTTTTGCCTCAGTTTATCACTCCCTGGTTTAACTATCCGATGCTCCTGGTATCAATTTCCTGTCTGCAACTAGGTTACTATCTATATAGCGCCAACATAGCGCCGTAGAGCAGACCAGTCCAGGACTTCGGGATTACCCATTTAGAAAGAAAAAAGCAAACACCTTGACACAATAGGGTAATGCCTAAATCCTGGACTAGTTGGCGTGCCCCGAGGACTGGCTTGGAAACCATTTATAGAAAGGGGGTATTTAGAGGTGAAGAAGGCCCTGCTCAAACAAGCTTACAATCTATTAGGTTTTGATGTATACAGATTGTTAGCGGACTTGCCCAAGCACGCTTACTGGCGAGGTGGTTTGACTGGGATTCGAACCTGGGTCTCCCAGTAGTAAGTTATGTTACCACCGTTATAGACAGTTGATATATATAAAATGATATGTTCCTGCTTGTAATGTAGCTATTTGAAGGATTAGCTGCAGAGCTTTGTGAAGAGATCTAGGGATTACCGTTACAAGAATGCAGCAAAGTAAAAAACAAACAAAAGGGAATTGGGGGGTCACACCAGAAACATACGTTTCACAGAAATGGTGCTGCTGTAGAGACCACAATATATTCAAAATACAGTTAAAGGAACAGCAGGAATACGGTTTTAAATTTGTCAAGTACTTAAAATCACCTATCTCAGCCAACATATATGGGGACTCAGTTCCACCATATGCCATACAGTACCCCAATATTGTGGGTCTTACACCAATTTTAATGTAGGAGATAAATTAAATAGTGCTAAATTATTGTGTGCGCTGTTCCTCAATCTGTAATGCCACAAGACATGGGGGTTCTAAACCCAATGCCTGTCTACCTATCAATACTGACACACACTGAACCAGAAACTGAGGATTATGGACGCTCTATGAAATGTTCCTGGTGTTTTAAAACTTTTCAGAGCAAGCTTTCGTTCCATACCCCCAGTATTGAATTTTATACAATCTTAAAACAAGTCACATACCCTTCAATAATAACTACCAGACAATGGATTCCACAAATGTCTTCTTTATTGCAAGATGGGATTATTTTCCCACATGTAACAGCAGAGGATACATCTTGAGTTAATCTTACACAGCCCTTCTAGAACACAGAACATCTCGATTAGCAGTCAAAGATATTTATAGAATATATACATTTAAAATGTCTTGTAAAACAGGCAGATTAATTAACGTTGAAAATCAGATTGCCAAGGAGACAATCCGTGACATTGGGAATCCTTTCTTTCTTTGTAAAAAATAAAAATAAAATAAAAATAAAGTTTTCAAAGCTTATCTAAAGTCTAAATCACAAAGTGTTAAATCGTCAGTAATTTCTTTTAACATTGACTTAGTGATTTTTATACGAAAGAAACGAATCACGATCATATTAAAGATATGCTTTGCATGGGGGATACTAATCCAATATGCAAATAGTAGGACGTTTTCACTTCAGTGAACGACCAAAGCGACAGTCTCTAGTTTGGCATATATTAAGGTTATGATGAACCCTGGTGCTGTACTTTGCCAGTTAGAATTTATATTTCATTTTAAACCGGACATTTTAAATTACTAGTACAGTATAGAAAATATATGTCCTATTCTGAGGTTTTCTGTGCAGCTCTGCAATGTTGGTTAAATAAACGGAAATCCAGTGAAAGGTGAAGAAATCATTAATGTTGATGGCTCGATTGGGTAATACAAAATCAGAACAGATCAGATTCTGGGAGTGATGGACATGAAGCTGCCATAGATGGCAGAAATTTGGGATTTAAAAGTGAAGCAGCGTTTTAAAAGGCAGGATAATGTTCAGTGCTCGAGTATTTATGGTAATACTCCCAGAACCCCTCAAATTGGGATGCGTGGCGTAATAAAGGCCTTAATCGTTCACAAAGATATCAGTCCCTTGTTCCTGTTAATTCAATATCCCACCGATATAAACTTTTCAAAAAAAATATACAAGCTCTAGTATAATAAAATTATTTAACATTTCAATGATTTTGGGTGGTTGTAAAATTGCGAGCCTCTCTCGAGACCTTACCCTGCAGTCTGTTATATAACTAACATATCCCCATACAAAACAGGGGCACGGCTCAACTCTAAAAAGAAAAAAATAACATAACAAAAGTGTAAAATTGCTTTTGCAGGTATGCCGCTAGCAAGAAGAATTGCACTCATAAGATAAAATAAAAAAATGGAGCCTCCTCCTGTTATCCTGGGAGGCCGAGATATTTTGCTCTCAGTGCTCCTTAGTAGACACCTCGTTTCTCTTCTCCAAAAATAACTTAACGGGGACCAGCAGGTACAAGTAGAATTACTTTTATTATAAAAAAACAATAGTTCAATAAATAACGCAAACGGTCCAACATCTTTCGTCCTGTACACAGTATTTCTTCAGGGATGCCCCCATTATGAAAGATAAATACAACCATAAATAAACATTATCTACTAATCTGCTATTATAATAGGTTGTATGTATTTGCTTTGCATAACGAAGTGTCCCATAAAAAGCACTTTGTACAGGACGAACAGCGTTGGACCGTTTGATTCATTTATACAATTAATGATTTTTTTAGAATATAAATAATAAATATTTTATATTTGTACCTGCTGACGTTTTTCTCGGAGAGGAGAAATGCGGTGTCTAAGGAGCACAATACCCAGCCCACCAGGATATCAGAGAGGTACCCCAATGCTGACTTGTTCCTTTTAGTCTGGTGTGAGTCTAATAGTTTACAGCTCATTAGACCTCACAAACCTGTTTCAGTCAAGCTATATGTAAACTCTACCAGAGTAAAGAACCAGGTCTTGGGAGCTGAACCAACAGATGAAAGCCACTAGTGAAATTTTGGACCGTCTTAAATAGGCAGAAAACAAACGAGTAGTGGTTGCATAGGCCTGCCCTGATGATGGCTGTGCTTGTATTTAATACAACAAAAATTAGAAAGTAGTGGTATGACTAGGGATCAGGCACTTCCCGAAGGTAAAATTACTACATGGAAATAAATCTCAAATAAATGACAATTCCGACATTACAGACTAATTCACATAAGGAATGAGTACATAACCACACGGCCCTTTAACATCCAAAGGGAAGTCACACCTAGTACATAACTGGGGATTTCATTAAATAACTTCTCTGATGTGCACTATTGCAATATTCTGATATAATTTCCAATATTTATATACAAATATATTATACTTTATCTGCTTCATGGGATACCCTTTCCCTCACACAAATTTTGTAGTGAAATGCAATCTGAGTCTACTCACTGTGTGAATTGCCTGTGTATGATAACCAATCGTTCGAATGTATATACAGGCTGCGTTAACCGCGTGTCTCACAGTCCATGAACTAAACAGTGCAGGGAGTTCGATACATAAACGGATTTCAGTAAACGTTACGATGTTAATGTGTTGGACTTTGCTAAAAAGACAGGGTGGCTGCCATCAATCTGTCTGGGGTTAATGAGAAATGGCTGAAGAGTGAGGATTTTGAAATGATAAATTACGACAATTATTATTGGGGTACGATTCAACGTTATCCCTTTGAAAAAGGTTGCAGCATTTGGCAATTACAATGTTTATATATAGGAGCATCAGACATTATGTTTGAGTTTAGGGCCCTTCAGTAGAGGCTGGGATGGCCAGAAACCAGTTATACTTCCAAGTGGCATATTCGCTAAACGGTGAACTGTAATAAACTGAAAACACAAATACAACATTTAGGCAAAAATATTTCCCTTTTAACATATTCTCCAACTCAGGAAAAGTCACAGCTTGGCTATTAAAGCCTAAATTTTGCAATTTGGATTTCAATTGACAGCAGTTCGGTGTGAATATATTTTTAGTTTTAAAACTTCACATAGTGGTAACGGAAATGATAAAGTATTAAATCTCATCAAAACTCCACCATGCACCTCATCTAGCAAACAACTCCAAAAAATACATTAAATCAATTCTAGTAAGAAATTGAGCGTTCCCACAAAGGCAAGATTTTGGGAAGGTGCATAGAGAAGACCGCAAACGACCACCTTTAGTCTCGGGTTTTTAAATGATCGCCTCGTTGGCTGAAAAGTGTTTTCAATAGTGGATATGGAACATCAACTAGAGCAGTGTTAGGAATACAGGTTGCGCTAGTGTGGCTGTTAAACGACAAATCTCAAAATCGATTGCAGTTTGGCAGGTGCCTAGCGACCTGCTGCCTACCCCAGTGCTAAGTGATCTGGAGGAAGAAATGAAAGCCGAAGCTGATTATGTATAGCGTAGACCTGTTGAGGATGTCTCAAACCTCTCCTGAATTACTAGCTAGCAGGACACCGCGTCATCTGAGCATTCCAACATAGGTTTAATCTACGTCAGGGCTTTAAATTTCAACATGAAATACCGACCAGGTGTGGATCTCTCCTCGCTGGGTCTCAATTTTCATTAAAAAAATCAAGTGGAAATTTTGAGCACCGTCTACATATATTTGGTGGTGTCATGTGGTCAGCCAATATTCTCTCCTCTTCATTGACTGGTACATACTACCTTTTTTCTTGCAGATATGTCCTCTTATTTATTGGTAGAAGAATACAGACCAAGAGTGCCTCTTGAACTGACAAGCTGTACTACGAGAGGATAGGGGTAACGGTTACTGGTAAAGGACTAAACTGAATGGTCAGTGAAACAGACGGATAAATCAAAATAACAGCACTTTGTGGGTTTGTTTATACATTCCAGACTGAAAGACACACTCCCATCTTCTCTCTCGTATCCTGCTGAACAATGACACGTGTATGGGCGTCTATACAGGTGTTCTGGCACAAGATGTGTATTTCTGCAAAATGTTCGATTTTAAAATGCAGCCATGTAGACACAACTCCTCTTGTCCTCTTGCTGTTTTATGTTGTTGTATATTTGCTGCTTCTTTAAATAATTTTATTTTCCATTTAGAACCGGTATGCCAAGCTGGAGAAATGCCGTGGACGCGCCACCGACCAGAAGTTGCGCCGGTTCTGCAGGGATTGGAAACTGTTGTTCATTCGCCATCTTTCCCTCTTGAACTTTATCTTTTTCACCTGTTCCAAAGAAAAAAAAACTGTTATAAAGAAAGCAAATCGTCTATATGCCAACAACATATCCCCATGGCATTACCGATCTGTAAACATTTCTAGGGGCTCATTCCAAGACGGACAAAACAGACACTGTATAGTATTTTCAGCTTTAAAGAAACACTGTAGTCACCAGAACAACTACAACTTAATGTAGTTGTCCTGGTGAGTATAGTCAGTCTCTGCAGGCTTTCTGCTGTAAACACTACCTTTTCAGAGAAAAGGCAGTGTTTACATTGCTTCCTAGGGACAGCTCCAGTGACAGTCACTCAGACGGCCACTAGAGGTGCTTCCTGGCTCAGTACATTCAGCGGCTCAACACCCTGCATAGAAGCGCTGAACTTTCCTCATAGAGATGCGTCATAGCCAAGGAAGCGTTTGGCTCAGCCCCCTCCCCGCTTTCTTGGCTGAGATCATCAGAATTGACAATGTCAGCCAATCCAATGCTTTCCCAGAGTTTTTAACACTATAGGGTCAGGAATACACGTATTGTTCTGTAAAAGATGTGTCAGATTGAAGGTGATTCCACCCTTTTCTCAATACTGGGGCATCATTCTATCCCCCAACATTACATAGTTACATAGTTACATAGCTGAAAAGAGACTTGCGTCCATCAAGTTCAGCCTACCTCACATTTGTTTTTTGCTGTTGATCCAAAAGAAGGCAAAAAATAACAGTTTGAAGCACAATTTTGCAACAAGCTTTGAAAAAAATTCCTTCTTGACCCCAGAATGGCAGTCAGATTTATCCTTGGATCAAGCAGTTATTACCCTACATTGAAAGATTATATCCTTGAATATTCTGTTCTTGCAAGTATGCATCTAGTAGCCGTTTGAACATCTGTATGGACTCTGATAAAACCACTTCCTCAGGCAGAGAATTCCACATCCTGATTGTTCTTACAGTAAAAAAACCTTTCCTTTGCCTTAGACGAAATCTTCTTTCTTCCAGTCTAAACGCATGGCCTCGTGTCCTATGTAAAGTCCGGTTTGTGAATAGATTTCCACACAATGGTTTGTATTGGCCCCGAATATATTTGTATAATGTTATCATATCCCCTCTCAGGCGACGTTTTTCTAAACTAAATAGGTTTAAATTTGTTAACCTTTCTTCATAGCCGATATGTTCCATTCCTTTTATTAATTTTGTAGCCCGCCTCTGCACTTTTTCTAGTGCCATAATATCCTTCTTTAGAACAGGTGCCCAAAATTGCACAGCATATTCAATATGGGGTCTTACCAGTGATTTATAAAGAGGCAAAATTATATTCTTGTCCCGAGAATGAATGCCCTTTTTCATGCATGACAATACCTTACTGGCCTTGGCCACTGCTGATTGACATTGCACACTGTTGCATAGTTTGTTGTCTATAACAATTCCCAAGTCCTTTTCGTGTGTTGTTATCCCTAATTCGCTTCCATTAAGGGTATACGTTGCTTGTGTATTCTTTACGCCGAAGTGCATAACTTTGCATTTTTCAACATTAAATTTCATCTGCCATTTCAGTGCCCAGTCCCCCAGTCTATCTAAATCCCTCTGCAGCAAAGTAATATCTTGCTCACATTGTATTGTTTTACATTACCTTTCCTCTGTCAAAGTCTTCATCCCATTCATCTGTCACCCTATCATATCTGGCATCTTCTGCATCATAAGCTGCATCTCTGCTCACAGCTGATGCTTCGCCGTCCCAGGTAAGCACTGAGGAGAAAAGCAAGAGGTCACATCACAGTTTGTCCCCCACAGATTGCTAACAAGGCAACAAAACCTCAGGGATTCTACATACAAATCCTGACTACATCAAGGAAGTGCTGCTTAAACATTCTTTAGCTCTGGATCAGTAGTGACTAGACTAGTGATAAGATTAAGACTGGCCGTTATTATGCTTTGTAGCAGTTGTGCTTTCTGAATGACCATAGATGTTTAAAAGTTATACCACATTCTAACATGGCACAGATTTAAAATATTAACAGGAATGTCAGGCACGGTTAAATTATTCATAGTTCTTCTCACCTTGTTTCCCATATGCTTTGTCTTTGGAGCCCTTAATTAGCTCCTGGACCACATGTGACTCTTTGGTGCCGTCCCATGCAGGTGGTACTGCTTTCTCTGGTTTTGGCGTCTCTGTGGGACGCTTGTAGCCATCCCGGACCTGACTGTCCCACACATAAACTTGAGCTGAGAGGGAAAAGAAGACATCACGTAAGATGAAATAAGCTGGTTTAGAACCCTAGTGAACCCATCCATGCCTAGTGACACCGTACCGGAGGTCTTCTCTTCCTTTACAGGTTTTGGCTCTTTGGAGACGTCCCCTCCCAGGTCTTGCGGGGTCTCCTCTTCATGCAGGCGTTTCTTTTTCTTCTTTTTTTTCCTGACTACTTGATCAACTTCCCTTTCATGGTCAGAAATGGTACAATTGCTAGAAAACAGAAGTTTATACATCATTTGATTCAACAAGGAAAGAATACTAAGGTTTCTACAAAAACAACAGGTCACGCTTTGGATTTAAAAAAGTCAGCATTTATATTATAGGAATCTTTTTCCAGTTTTTATGCAGTTTCAGGATTTGTGGTTAGGCTTTCTGGAAATAAATAAATCTTAGGGGGGGAAAAAAAATGCTATTTTGTATGTTCTTAAATATATAAAGGTAAAATGTATAAATTAGCACTAAAGTATACGTGTGTGTCTGGTGTACAGTGTTTTGCCATACATGTAGTCTAGCATGATGGTCAGCATCCTTGGATTAAGACCAAGAACCAGGGAATAAGTCAATGATCTGGTGTTAGAACAAGGGTCTGTTTTGTTGCTAGTTCTTCTGCCAACAACCTCTAGCATACATGAGCGAAATGATGGCTCTGGAAAAAGGACAATTCTGGAATTTCCCATTTTTAAGACATTTTAACATGTATTATTGAACGGGAAGACTGTTCTTTAATCAGAGAAGAGATGGATTTTAGACATGTCACATGTACACAAAAGGTTACAGGTCCCTACATTAGCCATTAATACAAATATTAATAGGGGGTATCCGTTCTTTAGGTTAGTTTTGGGAATATTTCTGTTACTGTCACGGTGCCTGATCAGCACCTCAGTGTGACCGCACCATATCGGTGCAGTCAGACTATCGCAGTGCCAGATTAGCACCACGATGTGACCGCATCTGATGGGTGCGGTCACACTAAAGGAGGGAGAGGTTACTCATCTTACCTCCAGAGACTCTCCCTCCTTGTAGTTTGTAATTCAGTGGCCGGGTCCAGTGTTAGGAAGGCCGCAGCAAGTTGGCGCTATTTAATAACGTCGCCAACTGAGCAGGGCCCACGTGCGTGTGGCGTTATATTTTTGCCTTGCGCGCACGTTCTGAGGTCATGGGACCCAAATCAGTCAACAACAGGATTTACTGTGTTATTTAAACCCAAGCCTACAGTTGTTCAGTGACCTGTCGTGGTTTCCATCCTGTTGGTTATCTTGGCTTGATTTGACTTACCATATTTCTGGTATCCCTGACCATTTGGCTTTGTTCTTTCTGTATTCCTGACCTCGGCTTGTTACGGTTTATTCTATTATGTTAATTGGGCCACTGGTTCGTCCTGACAGTTACCTTTCAGAGGGTGCATGGACCTGGTCATCCAGTTCCTGCTCAGCTTTATCTCTTTTACGCTTTCTTTTACGTTCTGTCTTCTGTAGATTGTTGATTTCTGGTTTTGGGGAGCTGGTGGACTGACCGGATCGGATTTCACGTTCCTTTTGGTCCTCTCTGTCTAATGTAGAGACATTCTGAACAGCGTTATCCATTTTCCTTTTTCTCCGCTTTCTCTTCTTTTTGGGCATGGATCCCTCCGCGACCCCATTGCTGCTGAGGACATGTATACTTGATTTTGATATTTTTTCTGGCTGTGAGGGACTGGGTGAGGTTTCAGCCTTAGAATTCTTCACTGTATTCCCCTGAGTGGTTGGGATGGGTGAGGTTTTATTGGAAAGATAGTGAGATGATTGATTTACTGGGTTGATGTGGTCAGATCCCCCTGGAATTTGTTTTAGCGGCTTCGTGCTGTTTTTGGCTGGCTTTTGTTTACGAGCATCAATGGTACAAATTCCAGGAGAACCCTCTGCAGATTTGGAGTGTCCCCTGTCAGAGAAAAAAAATATTGAAGATGTTAACTAATACAAAATAGTCTGTAAAGCAGTGAACTATAGAGTTCCTTAGGTTATATCCTTTCAGACCTTCACATCGTTCTCACTGCGCACTAAACTATTTTAGAAAGGGTTCTGGTGTCCAGCCACACAAACTTAACATAAAGCAGGAAAACCTGTAAGAAGAAATGTGTTAAGCCTTAATATCCTACATCAGATTTTCACCTCATTTGTTCTGCTGTGTGCATTCAATGCCTTCAGTGTTTCTAATTCAGCCTGCCACAGCAGGTCACGCTACTGCTATCACTCTCAGCCACAGGGGGGCATTTGATGAGAGTTGTAGACAAATGGGGAGCCTGAAGTAAAGCTGGCTGGCCTGGAGTTAGATCATCAGAAATGCTCGTTAAGTTGATGTGAAGGTCATAGGAGGCCATCCCTTGCAGCTGGGATTTATTGAAATCTGCCAAAACCCAGACACCACTAGACAAATATTTATTTATGGCGACGTAGGAACGCTGCTCAGGAATCCTTTCAGAAAACACATAAGGAGAATTTCATGAAAACTGCAAAAAAACAGTGAAGAATTTTCCAGCTTTCAGATCTCCGAGTTAAAATATACCCCAAACAATCTAAAAATCATGTCAAGTTGTCATCTAAAATTTTCCAACGCGCAAAAACACAAAATAAAGAAATACATACTTAGGTGCAGATCCCTTACATTTTTTTTATTCAGCAATCAGAACATGTGCATATTATGGATTTACAGGATGCACAGGGTGGATCTCCCTTTTGGGAGTCAGATTATTTGGTTTTTGTAACTGTAACCTTATGCTATTTTGCTATAGTGCAATATATTCTAACAATGCATCCAAACTGTAGGCTGGCTATAGACCATGTGCTTTATTAGTATATTGGAGCAGTGCCTTTTTACTTTCAAGCAGAGCTTAAAACTGGGATATTAATTGGATTCCACCGACTTCATAGAGCCCCACATCGTTGCTAACACGTGGATTGGGAGGATACAACCTACAGTCTCTGTTGGGCACACTATTTGCAGCTCACACCCGACGTTTTTCTATGAGATTTGATACATTGACCTCCTTGGGTAACATACCAATGGGTACGCACAGTGTCAAGGATTTTCTTCTTGATTTGAGAGGCCTGATTTTATATAAAATCAATTTACTACAAATGGTCCATTTTTAATGCAACATTGTAACAATTTTTGGACAACATTTGTAATGAGCAATTTTTGTACAACATTTGCCATTGTGCATAATGTAACCGTTTCATATACTATATGCACATAACACTAACTCCAGATGTTACATGGGCTCTCTAACTAAGCACTTTGTATGGTTGGATTTCAGCTCACAGCAGGGATCTCTTTACACTTTGTAGTATTACAACGCTGTAATAAATAACTAATAAATGTTAAACTGGCTTTCAATTCACACACATGAAAATTTGGCTTGACTTACCCATGCTTATGGAGCAGTCTAGGTGTGGTGGGACCAGGGGAAGCGAAGGTGGGACGAACGGAACTGGCAGTGTGGGATGGAGACGGAGTAGGGTAAGCATCATTTCTGCTTCCCCTCTGCGGATTGCTGCCCTGCAGTTATTGACATAAATAAAATCTTGGTGGTATAAACAAAAAAGGGTTTTGTGGCAAAAACAAAAAACAAAAAACAACAACCAAGGAATGATGAAACCAGACCAAAAGAAATGGTGAAAGTGGAATAGTGATGGTGAAATGGAAGAAAGAGGTTCGTTTTGTTAGAAACCAAAAAAAATCTAAATCAAAATTTAAACAGAGATCAGTAAAGGGGCTGCCTTGTCTGTGTGCTAGCATTATGCGGTTTGTTGCAGGGAAAAGACGTGGGGAAAATACTGGTTACACAAACAGAAAATTCCTAAATCTCAACTTCCATTTTGCCAAACTATTCCAGACAATGAAACATCGGGAGATACAAAGTGACTTGTTAACTTCCACAGAGTGTCCATAATTCTGAACGAACAGGAAAATACTAAATCCCCCAGCCCCTTTCTGGTACCCCCGTGTGCTCTTTTTTATATGAACTCCTGCTAAAGAGGATATGACTAGGGGTAGCACATGGTAATGTAAAGAATATGATCTGTTCTCTTTATTCCCGTATTTTTCTTGATTCCTAGCGACTCAGACTGTTCACCACCAAACCTTAGTCACCAATAAGGATCAGATTTGCTTTGCTAGTAAAATATATAGCTTGTTCTGCTTTTGTGGTTTGTTTGTTTTACATACCCTGACGGAATCAATTCTCACAAAACACTCGTTTGCAGGAAAAGTGTTAACCTTTAATGCTGAGTTCTTAGAGGGATGCCAATGACAATCTCCCATTCAATTCACAAAAGCTGCATTACATGTGAAGCCGGCTCTAACATATTAGAAGGCTGATGTGAGGCTAAATGTATTAAATAAAAAACAGCCGGTGAACTAGGCTATCATGACAATACAGACATCGAAAGGTCTTCTAACAGAGAGAGAAGGCAGAACAAGACAAGAACTATAAAGTTTATCTGTTACCATAATTATAAAGACTGAGGACATGGGCACTCACCTTTTTGGCAGATAGAGCTAGTTTCTTGGCAGGCGGGGGTGACATGGTGGACAAAACCTCACAAACGCTGGCCAGTGTGGGGGATCTGGATTTCAGAGAACTAGTGCCAGACTGCTCGGCTTCCAAAACCCCAGAACTCTGCAGAGAATTCGAGGATGTTGCAGTCCTGACTGGAGAAGGGCTGGGAGAAGAGTCCTGGCCATTTGTGAGGGACTCCGATTTTGATGTATCATCCCCCTCCTCTTGAAGTAGAGGTTCTTTGCCACCAACTGTGTGAGGTTTTGGGTTTCTTGTCAAAGTTTTGGGCGAGGTAGATGGACTGGGACCAGTGGCCTCCCAGTTCTGTTTTGGAATATCCTGTCGGTTTCTTTCAGTCGTTGCCCCCTGAGTAGCTTTCAATTGAGGGTGAAGAGGCTTCTTTACTCTGCTTACTGGTTCATCCAAGAAGAATGGGTTGTGAAGTGACTTGGAACTCAACTTGGGGAAAGGTTCAGCACTCATAGGCCTTGGACGGGGCATTCCATTCTGCTCTTTATTCCCTGATGGTTGTGGGGTGCGGGAGACTGGCACTCCCATTTCTTCCAAACCTGGTGATTTCTTCAAATGCTGTCCTTCGGGCCTCTGGAAGGTAAAACTAAACATAAAAATGCTGAAACAATACCTGAGAAACATAAGCTAACCAGAAGCATGGAGTGTGCCGCCAAATGTCTTATACAAGATCACCCACCTTTCCAATGAGTGGGGAGTAAAGGTTTCCATTAGACATGGTCTTCTTTATGCTGGGAGGAACAGAACTGGGACGTGCAATTTGTGAGTGAGGAACCTTGCACATGGATGCATCTGAACTTTTTCTAGATTCTGGAAGCCTGTTGAAGGGAGAAATGAAATTCACATGCAATGCTAACCATTCTACTACAAGACCAAGAAAAATGAATAGCTGTTTATTTTATGGTAGCAAGTGTAATATTAGGGCTTGTAAAAAGACTGAAACACTTTGGCAGAGTGGACATACCTCAGGTAGAAGAGGACATACGCTTGTTGGTTCAACACAACCTTAATATTACTGGCATGAACGAGAGAATCATTCATCTGATACCACTGTCCGTTGCTGGCCTGGAAGGATAAAAGTATGCTTTTAAACTGGATGCACACCGGCTGAGACAGATAAAGGGCGTTTGGAAATATCGTCCTGATTCTCTTTGAATACAACGTAACTTTGGGTATAGTGTTACAGATTTTCATAGGACATGGAGAGGAGATGTACTGAAAGGACTCACCTTGACATAGCAGTAATAGTGGCCAGCATGGCAACTGTACCCAGAATGCACGAGCACTGCATAGAGGGCATACATGACAGGTTCCCCATTACTCTGGGACATATATGGGCGGATGTTCAAAAATTCAGGGTAGCCCACATCCTGTAAAGGAAATGAAAAGTGAGTTAAATATCATAAAGACATTAACATATCCTCCATATCCTTTGTACTCCACGTGTGGTTGTACAAGGTTCTCACCTTACTGATTTTGCCACCACTAAAGTTTGCAAACCGTTTCAGAGACAGTGTGAGGACATTGGATGCTCGATGAACACTGAATCTCTTACTAGCTGGAACCTTCTTCTTGCATCTAAAAAAATAAACAAACCACAAAAAACCTTACCAAAAAGTCAATAGAATAGGGGGCAATTGATTTAATTAAAGAGACATTTCACACTCTAAACACAAAAAAATAAATAAATATCGCGGTTTAGAGATATACCCCAATGAAAACATGCTTTAAAGGAACACTATATTGTCAGGAACACAAACATGTATTCCTGACCCTATAGTGTTAAAATCCCCATCTAGCCCCCCTGAATATAGAAAAATCTTACATGTATTCAAGTTTGGAGTTGCTGCCTCTGAACTATGACATCATCAGAAGTGGTGATCTGAGCCAATCCCAATGCTTGCCCATAGGACTGGCTGAGACTGCCATGGAGGCAGATCAGGGGCAGAGCCAGCACAAGTCAAACACAGCCCTGGCCAATCAACATCTCCTCAAATAGATTGAGTGAATCAATGCATCTTTATGAGGAAAGTTCAGTGTCTGCATGCAGAAGGTGGAGAATGGCAGTGCTGTACATTAGGCAGTACAGACTCTCCTCACTTACCGACCGGGTTCCGTTCCTATGACCCGGTCGTACAACGAATTGATCTGTAAGTAAGGAGCTAAGGGATTCCCTGCTCTGGTGCGTTCATCTATGTTCAGGGAAACTTCCCAAAACATAGACATGCGCACCAGAGCTGGAAATCCCCACGACGGCTCGCACTTACACCTGGTCATTAGCGCGAGCCGTCGTAAAACAGGTAGGTCGCTAAATGAGGACCACCTGTACTGACCCAGGAAGCCCCTCTAGCAGCCATCTCAGGAGTGGCCAGTGAAGTTATCACTAGGCTGTAATGTAAACACTGCATTTTCTCTGAAAAGACAGTGTTTACAGCAAAAAGTCTGAAGGGAATGATTCTACTCACCAGAACAAATACAATAAGCTGTTGTTGTTCTGGTGACTATAGGGTCCTTTTAATTTAATTATGCATTTTTTTCATTAGGGTATATTTAAAATCAGCTTGCAAAATCTCGAAAGCCCCCCTTGCAAACTCTGGGGCAACATTCTAATGGAAGAATGATCAACAGGGAGAGTTAAATAAAACAAACATAAAGGTAAAGTGTAGAGTGTTATTCATACAACCATACATAAAAGTGCTTGTCGGTTACTAACTGCATACGCACTAAACACTAGCGCAATCAATGTGGCACACAAATCCTTTTTTAATTCTTTCTTTTTTTGAGGCATTTAATTTATGTACAACATCCCATAAAACAGTGGGAGCTTTGGCTCAGTAACAGAGAATGCAATCAAAAAATATATGCTCCTTAAGACATTGTTGCAGTTTTTTACAGGTATCAGTAACTATAAACTATGCATGTGTGGTACATCAATCTGTAAGGTCCTAGAGCAGTGATGGCGAACCTTTTTGAGCCCGAGTGCCCAAACCGCAATACATGCCATCTTTTTTCCCCTCAAAGTGCCAACACTGCAATTAAACCTGAATACTGAGGTTTAAGTTTGGAAAAAACAACTCATACAGTTGTCTGAACTAATTCTCCTCTTCTTTCCCCCCAGCATCTTCCCTTCTCTACCCACAGCATATCCTCCTCTCCCCCGGCATCTCCTCCTCCTCCTCTCCCCTTCTCCCCCCAGCACCACCTTCTCCTCTCCTCTCCATAGATTCTCCTCCTCTCCCCTTCTCCCCCCAGAATCTCCTCCTTTTCTCCTCCCGATTCTCCTCTTCCTCTCGCCCAGATTCTCCTCTTCCTCTCGCCCAGATTCTCCTCTTCCTCTCCCTATCTCCCCCCAGCATATCCCCCTTCTTTCCCCCAGATTTTCCTCTTCCTCTCCCCTTCTCCCCCAGCATCTGCCAGCTTCTCCTCCTCCTCCTCTCCTCTCCCCGCAGCATCTCCTCTTCTCTGCCCCCAGCTTCTCCTCTTCTCTCCCCGCAGCATCTCCTCTTCTCTGCCCCCAGCCCCCAGCTTCTCTCTCTCTGCCCCCAGCAGCTTTTCTTCTCCCCCCAGCTCTCCCCTCATCTCCTCTCTCCCCCAGCTTCTCCTCTTTCTCTCCCCCCCCCAGCTCCTCCCCAGCTTCTCCTCTTTCTCTCTCCCCCAGCTCTCTCCCAGCTCTCTCCTCTTCTCTCCCCCAGCTTCTCCTCTTTCTCTCCCCCAGCTTCTCCTCTTCTCTCCCCAGCATCCCAGCATCTCCTCTTCTGTCCCCCAGATTTTCCTCTTCTCTCCCCTAGGCATCTTCCCCTCACTACCCCAGCATATCCCCCCTCCCCCAGTATATGCCCCTCTCCCTACCAGCACATAAATAATGTTTTGAAGTCCTCCCAGGCTCCTTACCTCCTTCCCGCTGCTGTAAGGGGGTGTGGGCGTGAGGGAGCACTGACTTATGTGCTGTTCCAGCACTGCTCCCTCTGCTGATGCTGCCGGCAAAACAGGAAATTACGTCAATCAGGTGGCCGCGTCTGATTGACGTCATTTCATGTCTCCCGGCGGCATCAATGGAGGGAGCAGTGTTGTAACAGCACGTAAGTCAGTGTTCCCTCGCAGCCCTCCATCCCACACACCCACCAGTGCCACCTTAACAAAATTATGGGCCCCGGGCAAAGCACTGCACTGAGGCCCTGCCTACACACAAGTCACAGGAATAAAAATTTAAATTATAGATAAAATTAGGCTTATATTTATTAGTATCTCCAACAAATGCAATACATACATAAAATACATACACACAGACTGCTGAATACATACACACCGACACACTCACAGTCCGCTGCATACACGCACTCACAAATTTACACACAGACTGCTCAATACACATACAGACAGACTGCTAAATACACATACACACACACACACACACTCACACACAGACAGAATGCTGAGTACAAACTGACTGCGGAGTACACACAAACTGTCCTCCATGGCGTGAAGGCTGGACGCTCGCTGGGTCCCATCTGGATGTGTCTGCAATCCTGGGGTTTCCAGGGTGTAGTGCAGTATTCCCATGAGGGTATTTGCTTCTTGCAGGTCGTGCACCGTGTGGGTGGTATCTCCTTGCTGGATCTGTAGGGACCTTGGCGAGCGCCAGCGGTAGTGCAGGTTGTTGGCCCAGAGTAGGGTTGTGAAGTTTTACGCCATGCCAGGGTTTCCCCAGTGAGGTCTTGGTAAAAAGAAAGTGTCATATTTTCAAACGTGAATGGGGCTTTAGCCTTCAGTGCGGTCTAGACCGCTAGCTTGTCGGCCATGTTGTGGAATCTCACCACTAAGTCCCGAGATGCTGCTGTCAGTGCTCACCGGGCTTTCGGTATGCGGAAGATCCCTTCGAAGGCGAGGTGCTTGATTTGTATGGGTGTCAGCAAGGCCGCCATCATCCTTCTCAGTAGGTAGGGGAGCTCTGCCACGGGGGTCTCCTCCGGTAGGCCCCGGAGCTTTAAGTTTTTCCGGCGCTGTTCATCTTCCAGGTTGGCAAAGCGCTGGTCGGTGAGTGCCTGCTGTTTCTTCAGCACTTGCACTTCCAACTGAAGTTCCGTCATCGAGACGGCTTGTTGCTTCGTGGCAGTCTCTACCCTCTCTAGGCGACCTACCAAGCCCGTCAGGTCGGAGCGGAGTTGGGCCACGTCCAATTGGAGGTTTTTTTGGAAAGCTCCCAGCATCTCCTTCAGAATCCCTGCCGTCACCGGGGCAGAGTCTCCCCTCTCAGGGATCAAGGCCTGTTGCAGTGATGTCGGCATTCCCAGGCTCCTGCCGTCTAGGGCTAGGTCCTCTGAGGAATCAGAATAATCCTCGTGGTCGGCGGCCATTTTGGGCCCATACACGCCCTGAGCCCGTCGGAACAGGTCTCCGATATGCGTGCTCTGTCCAGGCTCATCTGCCCTTGTTTTTTTTGTTTTGTGTTTATTGCCGTTTCCAGGCTCGGGGTTCAACGTGTTTGTCATTTTAAGCTGGCCAAAGTACGGAGCACTTGTAAACTGCGTCTTGCTCGTTCAGTCGCTTAGCTCGGCCCCCTCCACAAATATCTTTTAAGGAGTAAGCCGTTTAGAATATAATTAATGCTTTGACAAAGTGGAGGGGCGAAATGCGTTGGCATACTCTGTCATTGGTTAAACATCATGGTGTGGATATGCCCCACTCAAAATAGCAAGTCTTTGGAGACTATTGCACAAGAGTGTTTAGTATGTATGCACTTAACAGAGAGGTAATTTAATATGTATTGATTACATTAATAACACTCTACACACCTTACTTATATGTTGGTTTTATGTATTTTGAACAGTTTGTTTAAGTGTCGTATACTTTGGGGGGGACATTAAGGTGTGAGTGTTTGGTTTAAATCAGACCTAATATAAGGAAAATTTAAATGGTTTCCACTAAATCACTCTTTATAAATGAGGAGAACTCAGGGCTGGGGGACACCTTACTTATATGTTGGTTTTATGTATTTTGAACAGTTTGTTTAAGTGTCGTATACTTTGGGGGGGACATTAAGGTGTGAGTGTTTGGTTTAAATCAGACCTAATATAAGGAAAATTTAAATGGTTTCCACTAAATCACTCTTTATAAATGAGGAGAACTCAGGGCTGGGGAAGCACGATCAGGGCTGGCTGGGGGGAAGACGACTCAGGGCTGGCTGGGGGGCTGGGGGGAAGACGACTCAGGGCTGGCTGGGGGAAGACGACTCAGGCTGGCTCAGGCTGGCTGGGGGAAGACGACTCAGGGCTGGCTGGGAAGACGGGGTTGTGGGGGGGAGGCGAGGGCTGGGGGAGGACTCAGGGCTGTGGGGAGAACTCAGGCTGTGGGGAGGCGACTCAGGGCTGTGGGGGGAGGCGACTCAGGGGCTTTGGGGAGGCGACTCAGGGCTGTGGGGAGGCGCGACTGGGGCTGTGGGGGAGGCATGACACTAGGCTGTGGGGGAGGCGACACTCAGGGCTGGGGAGGCGACTCAGGCTGGGGGAGGCGACCTGTGGGCTGGGGGGAGGACGACTCAGGGCTGGGGGGGAGGCACCAGGGCTGGGGAGACGCGACTCAGGGCTGGGAGGCAGACCAGGGCTGGGGGGAAGACGACTCAGGGCTGGGGGAGAGACGACTCAGGGCTGGGGAGACGACTCACAGGGCTGGGGGGAGCATGACCAGGGGCTGGGGAGGCGACCAGCTCAGGCTGGGGAGGCGCACTCAGGGCTGGGGAGGCGACTCAGGGCTGGGGGAGGCGAGATCAGGGCTGGGGGGAGGCGACTCAGAGGCTGGGGGAGGCTGACTCAGGGCTGCTCAGGGGGCTGGGGAAGACTCAGGCGACTCAGGCTGGGGAGGCGCAGGGGGGGGAGGCGCACTCAGGGCTGGGGGGAGGCGCACTCAGGGCTGGGGGAGACACAGTCAAGGTTAATACGGCTGAGCGCAGTTACTGGGTGGATGACATTTGAATTCTCACCCTGCTATATTTCCTTTAGATGTTCTTCTTTTGTGGTTTGGAAAGTCTGTATCAGTGCTTCTTTGGCACAAATGATGTACATGGCAATAGTTTGGCAACCCATTCTTAATTTGGAAAATGTACTCAGTGCCTCATTAGTAAATGGAATATAATATATACCTAATAATTCTGTCTGTCAGATAAAGGATATCATAAAACAATGTGATCCCAGGAATTTAAAACAATATATTAATTTATTTACTCCACAGTCTGCAAATTCCCACTAAAACCCAGAGCCCAGTCACTGTACTTGGCACTGTACTCTTACTTGGCACACATGTAGGCATTCTCTCCACTGAGGACATCGGACTTCACAAAGAGCTCCAGAGCGCGGACAATGTTCACTGCATGCTGCAGATAACACACAAACAGAGAGAGAAAGTCAAACGACAAATACAGACATTTTATATATACACATACATACATCCTATCAGTCACAAGTTTGGACACACACAGCCACACATGCAGGTACAATACGTCGGAACTAGTGGGCAAGCGGTAAGTTAGCCATCCCTCAGAACTGATAGCAAGCTCTTATCTGCAGTTCTTAATGGTGCGCTACTGCTCTGGCCCATGCCATGTGATGTCACTTGCGCATCCCAGCATCGCCGCAGGGCGTGCACTGCATCCCGGCATCGCCGCAGAACCTGGAAATCCACTAGTTGCAACATATATTGTGCCTGCATTTAGCAAAATGTGTGACTGTGAATGTCCAAACCTATGACTGATAATATCCAATATATACATACATTTATATACCTCCACTAAAAAACAGAAGAGGGGTAGCACAGGTGGTTAGAGGAGGTTGGGAAGTAGATTTGGCGGTTACATTTTCAGCACTTTATGTAAACAACTCATGTCTTTGCCGGCTCTAACCTGGAATCCTGTCCACTATTCCAAGTGTGAAGAATTCAAGGTGAGTTAACTTTTTTTTTTAGATAAAAAAAATAATAAAAAAACAACCCAAGAGCAGTTTAAGACATTAACGTAAAACAGAGAAAGTCGCTACGCAGGTTGGAGTGACCCTTTAAGTAGTAGCAGTGTATGAAATACACGTTCACGGAGTATATATATATATATATATATCTCATTAAAAGGGAAGTTTCAGCAATACTGTTAATCCCCCTAGCAACAAAACTAGAAACTGTGGCCAGCTAGTATAAAGCCACACGGCATTTCAAAACACACCACTTCCTTTCCACAATACTGGTGATTAGCCTGCTTAGAAATCAAAGAATTAAAAATGTGGCATCCTCTCTCAATCACTGCACAGCTCTTTTTTTTTTCCTTTACTGAATAATACATTTTCTTTATTTTTCTACTTTGCGATATGGATGCACTAGCCATTCTTGTAATGTTACCAGATAACTGGATTTCTCTTTTTGGCATAAAATGCTTCATTTGACATTGCTTTATATTTTATTCCATGTTTTACATGGTTTCTGCTGTCTTGATCAGTGAGGCATTTTGCAGCTCTGACACCTTCTGGGGTGTTTGCATATTTAGCACGGTGACTTCTTTGTCACTTGCAGTGAGGTGGCTGCGAGCTGCAGGAAAGGTGAGCTTTGCTTACCTGAACCTGTCCCTCACGACTGCTGCCATTGTTCTCCACAACTTCCTGTTCAAATCCTGGAGCGTTATCTGCCAGGAGCAGATGTCAGGGATGTGCGCTCAAGCATGTTCAAGAGTACAACACTGACATCTATTGAGGAACTCACGAGGCCGCAGGGAAGACTTGAAAACACAAGCTCCGTTTTTTGTCAGGTATTGGAAAGATACATAAGACGAAGTAGTCTTATGGTTATCTTTCAACTGCTTTGGAATTTCAGTGTAATTTCAACAAGACTTTATGATTTGGCGGAAGGGGGGGAATGGTGGTGGTTGTAACAGAGCCCCTATAACCAAACAAGCTTCAGGCGGACAAAATGGAAAACATACCCGTATTTCCAGTGCAATATCCAGATAAGGGTCGTACGTGTCTGACACACTCTTACAAACAGAACATTTCACTGGAAGAAAAGTTGCAAAAAGATGTAAGTAATATGTAAGTACAACAGCAAGTGTCAACGAACACAATATCACAGTGAAAGCGACTGTAAGCACTCACCCCGAGAACGTAGGTAACCCCCGAATATTTGGTGAACTAAAGTTGTAGCCTGACTCTGGCGATCCAACCTACATGGAGGAAGAAGAAAAAAGTATTTAGTCAGGTGAGGTTTTGTGGATGTCCATGGTCTGCACACAAGAAATAAAATTCACCAGGAAATTTATATAGTAAGTATACAGAATTATAATTCTGACTTTTAGAAATGATTCCTCACAATGAGCATCATTTCATAAGTGTTATGATGCATGAATGGATTTGCAGTGCCCCCTGCTTTGTTATTTAACAATGTTTAAAGGACAGCTCCAATCTCCATAACCAATGCAGCCCAAATGTTTTAACAGGTTGACAACTTGGGTACCACTGGGCACCTGCTGCCAGAAACTCCTGCCAATTAGCAAAGCAAAGCCTGTCCATGCAGGGCCGCTCTAAATGGAGAATAAAGCTCACTTGACATGCCACTTCCAGAAACACTGCATCACTGATGCTCAGTGTTGACTCTCAAACAATTCACAAGCACCAACGCTGAGCTCAGTGTAAGCCACCGGATTTCCTGGACATGTGCGTGATTTCATCCATATGCCCAGGAAAGTATATAAAAAAAATAAAAAAAAAAAATAAAAAAAAACCCTGTTTCTGTGCACCATCATCTTAGAAACTTTACGATGGAGGCGCTAAGAAAGAAGACTCGGTGGGACCAGAAAAGGGAAATGAGCTACACCAGAATCTGTAGAGAGCTCACTGCAGAGGTTACACACACTGAGGATTTGCAGCAAATGTAGGGATTTCACAGGAGGATGTTTTTTATTTTATATAATGCATTAATAAAAAGGATCATATCCAGCACAGATTATCCCTTTTAACTATCTATAGCTATCTATCTTCTAAGTACAATACCATTTATGTAACAAAGAAATGAGAAAACACACACAGTGGCAAGGCCCTGGATAGTAAATTTTAAGGGATGTGCAGAGTGCTAAACACACAGGATAACTTGCCAATGTTAAGACAGTGGATTAATACGCAGACAGTGGCTACAGAACTTGTTTGAAGACTTACCTAGCATAGCCATTAAGGCAGGCCTTCTGCATAGCATCTATTGTATAGCGCAAGAATTCATGCGCATCCTCCTGGCTGCCAAAGCGGAAATGACGAGCAATTTCTGCAAAAGAGAAAAATGTTAAAAAAGCTCTTCATTAAGTAAAGTTTCCTAACAAGGGACACAAAATATGGAGTAAGAATTATAGATTGAAACCTGCATTTTGACAGTGCAATGATATTATATTATATATACACATAGTGAATAACAAGCATGAGATTAATTCATTTGATAATTTCATTGTTCATTGGGCTGAAATGTTGTCAAACTGTATAACTGCCTTAAAGGGACACTACAGTCACCAGAACAACTACAGCTTATTGAATTTGTTCTGGTGAGTAGAATCATTACCTTCAGGCTTTTTGCTGTAATCACTGTCTTTTCAGAGAAAATGCAATGTTTACATTACAGCCTAGTGATAACTTCATTGGCCACTCCTCAGAAGATCCTTCCTGGGTCATGGCTGCCTAAAATGCATCCAAACATTCCGTATCGCCTCCCTCTGCATGCAGACACTGAACTTTCCTCATAGAGATTCATTGATTCAATTCATCTCTATGAGGAGATGCTGATTGGCCAGGGCTGTGTTTGAATCATGCTGGCTCTGCCCCTGATCTGCCTCCTTGTCAGTCTCAGTCAATCCTATGGGGAAAGCATTGTGATTGGATCAGGCTACTACTTCTGATGATGTCAGCAGGCAGTGGGCAGGTCTAAAGGAAAGAGCCAGATCTAGCTGCTCCAGAATAGAATACAAGTAAGATTTTGCTATGTTTAGGGAAGGATGAGGGGACCAGGGTTTCTAGATGGTGGTTTTAACCCTATAGGGTCAGGAATATATGTTTGTGTTCCTGACCCTATAGTGCTCCTTTAAAGGGACACTCAAAGCAACCTAATGTGGCATAGACTCTCCTGGAGGAATCCCACAGTTTCACATCAAACCATTTATGAATAGTTTGACATAAACCAGGGCTCTTTCTGGACCCAATGGACTGTTACCATCTTGAAAAAACAAAACAAAAAAAAAACACTTCAATTCTATTTTATCTAGCATGGACAACTGTCTGAGTTTGGGTGAAACCAGCACTTTTGGCAAATTATTATCTTCCAGATTGGACGACTTATGGTGATTACGCAGATTATTGCCAATGTGGCCGAGCTGCATGTTGTCCATTGGCACTAGACAGTGCCTTTGAAGGGACAGTGAAGTACCGAGCGCGCAGCCCACCGACAGCCCAGAACACAGAGTGTCCGCAACGTTTATCCTTTTGCCTTAGCATCACCTGGTTACCTGATGTCCATAGCCCACAGCTGAAGTACATTTCCAGTTCACATGTAATACTTGAATGCAAGGATCACCCACCCATCTTCTCCACGTCCAGTGGTCTCCTTCCATATACTCACCTATCAAATCTGGACGATCTCAACATGCAAGGGGGTGAAATCTAACCTCCTCTACTATACATATTGACGACTGTGATATTTTTAAATTTTTCACTTTTTATTTTTACGATTTTATTACTTTTCATTTTTTTCTGTACACAGACTTTTCTTTTGTTTTTTTTGTTTTTTAATTTCCCTTATTTGGATCCACATATGCATATTTTTTGTATATTGCAAGATATACTGTAGTCAGCTATTTGACTATCAAGGCAGTGAGTACTGCTTCAATTAGAGGGTGGTACCATTGTGATTTATGTGTTTTTGGATTAGCTATATCTACATAGATCTACTGTGTTATATTTAGGCTATGGTATACTTATATATACAGGCACAGGATTAGTTGCCATATGGGCTTTACATATGTTGTAGCCTGTTTTTTTCCCCTGATGTACTTTTGTAGTAAATGAATACTTTTATTCTTGGATTAATATTTACAAATACACTTTTTTTGCATATATTTGAGTGTGTTATCTTCTGCAGTTTTTGAAACCAGCACTTTTGGCCAATTAATATCTTCCAGGTTGGACGACTTATGGTGATTATGCAGATTATTGCCAACGTGGCCGAGCTGCAGGTTGTCCATTGGCACTAGACAGTGCCAGGAGACACTGTGCATCCTAACCACTACAGTGAGATTTAGGACCAGGTTGCTCAGAGCACCCAGTGAGCTATTAACTCCTGTCCTGGGTCTATCTGTCCCCTCCCCCAATCGGTTCCAGACTAATATTTGTGTTTTCCCCACAGGGAGAAAGGTAAATTATTCTTCTGACTGAACGCCTGGACCTTTAAAGCAGGTCATTGCTTCACTGTTCTGACTGTAATAAATAAATAAAATGGCTAGTTTTGTGTAACAAGATTAGTGTTATTTACAATATAGTTAAAGGACCACTATAGTGCCAGGAAAACATACTCGTTTTCCTGGCACCATAGTGCCCTGAGGGTGGCCCCACCCTCAGGGACCCCCTCCCGCCCGGCTCTGGAAGGGGAAAATGGGTTAAAACTTACCTTTTTCCAGCGCTGGGCAGAGAGCTCTCCTCCCCCGATCCTCCTCCTCTCCTCCCCGTCGGCTAAATGCGCACGCATTCAGCCGGTCGCATAGGAAAGCATTCATAATGCTTTCCTATGGACGCTGGCGTGCTCTCACTGTGAAAATCACAGTGAGAATCACGCAAGCGCCTCTAGTGGCCGTCAATGAGACAGCCACTAGAGGAAATAGGGGAAGGCTTAACTCATTCATAAACATAGCAGTTTCTCTGAAACTGCTATGTTTATGAAAAAATGGGTTAACCCTAGCTGGACCTGGCACCCAGACCACTTCATTAAGCTGAAGTGGTCTGGGTGCCTAGAGTGGCCCTTTAAGATTAGTGTATACGAGTTCCTGTCCATCACACGGATTATCCAAAAGTATCGTTTATATACCCAAGAAATATACAAAGCCGAGGGGGTTGTAGTTTAGCAGGTTTCCAGTTATTTCCAAATCCCAGCATGGCGTAATCCCCACTGTGACTAGCACAGGATAAACTTCAGAAGGCACACAAGATTATTCGCTAGGTACCGAATGTTAGTGAAATGAAAACGGTATTGCACCATTTAGGCCAAAACATGTGACTCAGAAAGGTAGACAGTTTGGCTATTTTTGCCGAAATTCAGGTTCCTATTTACTACATATCGATGTTTATTGAATAAACCAAACCAATTAGAAAACTTTTTGGACTGCCCCTAGTGGCCAGGAATGGAAGTTCTACCACAACTGTATCTCTTTCTTTTCCCTGCATTTCACTATCTTTTCCCTCTCTTTGTGATGTTATAAAGCATCTGTGCTGTTCCAAAGACATCCTTACTTTTCAACTCTCGGATGAACGAGACTGGTTTGATGGCGTTCCCGCTGTTTGCAAATGCCTGGATGAGGTGATTCTGCATGATGCAGAGCATGCAAAATCCGCCCTGCTGACCTGAAGGAGAGAAGAATTAAAGAGGAGAACGAGAGTTAGGTTTCCAATAGATTTCACACAAATATAAATATAAACACGTTTATAGTCTGTTTGTAGTGTCCTCTCGCGAGCCGCGGCTGTAAGACTGTTGCTGTGCGTTACCATGGCAATGCATGCAGAGCTCGCTGGAGAAGGAGAGAACCTGCTGCTGGAGGTGGAAGATGAGACTTCTGGGACTTATTTCACTATACAAGCTGCACTGTGCCGCTGCTCACAACCCCACAGCATTTATCCAACAACACACACACAGCATCCACTACACGCACACACACACACACAGCATCCACTACACACACACACACAGCATCCACTACACACACACACACACAGCATCCACTACACACACACACACAGCATCCACTACACACACACACACACACACACACACAGCATCCACTACACACACACACACACACACTGCATCCATTATATACACACACACACACACACACTGCATCCACTATACACACACACACACTGCATCCACTATACACACACACACACTGCATCCACTATACACACACACACACTGCATCCACTATACACACACACACTGCATCCACTATACACACACACACACACACTGCATCCACTATACACACACACACTGCATCCACTATACACACACACTGCATCCACTATACACACACACACACACTGCATCCACTATACACACACACACTGCATCCACTATACACACACACCGCATCCACTATACACACACACTGCATCCACTATACACACACTGCATAATCCACTATACACACACACACACTGCATCCACTATACACACACACACACACTGCATCCACTATACACACACACACACTGCATCCACTACACACACACACACACACTGCATCCACTATACACACACACACACCGCATCCACTATACACACACACACTGCATCCACTATACACACACACACACTGCATCCACTATACACACACACACACACACACACCGCATCCACTATACACACACACACACACATCCACATACACACACACACACACACACACACCGCATCCACTATGCATCCACTATACACACACACACACACACTGCATCCACTATACACACACACACACACACACACACACTGCATCCACTACTGCACACACACACACACACACACACACTGCATCCACTATACACACACACACACACACACACACTGCATCCACTATACACACACACACACACACACACACACTGCATCCACTATACACACACACACACACACCACTATACACACACACACACCGCATCCACTATACACACACACACACACAGCATCCACCATACACACACACACACAATCCACTATACACACACACACACACTGCATCCACTATACACACACACACACACACTGCATCCACTATACACACACACACACTGCATCCACTATACACACACACACTGCCATCCACTATACACACACACACACACTGCATCCACTATACACACACACACACTGCATCCACTATACACACACATACACACATACACACACACACACACACACACTGCATCCACTATACACACACACACACACACACACTCATCCACTATACACACACACACACACACACTGCATCCACTATACACACACACACACACACACTCACACACTGCATCCACTATACACACACACACACACAAATACACACTGTATCCACTATAGACACACACACACACAAATATACACTGCATCCACAATAAACATACTCTATCATATTTGACAAAAATTTTTTTGTTTTTGTTTGTATCACGTCTACAGTATTGGAAAAGAATTGAATTTTTTTTAAACCTTATACTAACATTTCATATTGTTAAATAAATGAAAATACAAATTGCTAAAATTAACATGATTTAAATGTTAACGTTTGTCTTTTGTGACGTTTGCGTCTAATAAATCTGGTAGGAATATTTTTCAGTTACAAAGAGCCAAGTAGTGAAGGTGGTTAAAGGAACCCTCCAAACACCATAACTACTACAGCTGAGTCAGTGCATTATTACAGCTTAGTGTTATTACTACATCATTACTGCTCATTGTAGTCTATCCAGCTCCCTCCCGCAATGCAGACAGCGCAGTAATAAGGAAAGCTCTTGGTAAAGACATCTTTAAAATGTTCATAGTAACTCAAACACTCACAGTTGCGGCTGTGTTCCTTGGAAAGCAAGTAGTTGGCCAGCGGTGGAGTGTAGGTCAGACATTGGATAGTTGAGTTCAAGAAGCATGTGTTTCCCAAATTTTGGAGGCCGGCTCCCACTCTGGACACTCGCTCCCACTTCATGGAGAGCTTTTCTGTTGGGAAGAGAACTTTCTGTGGCAGTGGGATGCCATCTGTGCCCGGAGACAAGTCAAAGCCTGAAACTGAGAGTTTAAATGGTACAATTACCAGGAACAAGATGGCAGCAGCATTGTCATAAACACGATATCCATAATGAGTTCTGCTTAAACCGTATGGATCATGCAGTCACACATGATAACACATTACATATAATGACATTTAATCTCTGCATACTGAGTGAGACATAATAATACATGTACAGATGATCCTATATACAATATTACGGATGTAACCATCTACCACAATGAAGTCAGTTTGGCAAAAAAAAAAAATAATAATAATAATGCGGCCAACCAGACGTGTGGACGGTGACTGTACTGTACTGTAGGTGAGAATGTCTAAGTTTTACTCTGTAGATAAGCAACACAAGGTAAAAGTTATCCAGTTCTCTCATAAAGGATCTCATGTCATATGTAGATTGCACTTATATATTAATTTGCCCCCCAAAATTAATCTCTATGAGGTTGTTGTGTTGCAAGTTGGTCCCATGCACAGGCTTATCTTAAGGAGTTAAACTGTTAACTAATGGTTAAACCCAAAGCTTTGGACGACGACGACCAATCGCTCTACCCAACAACTTCCTTTCTTGGTCTCAGGCTTCAATCAGGAAGGCTCAGATCAGGTGCTGATTGTCATAGTAGGTTTGCGGACGCTCTCACCTACCAATAGCTCCGCATTCAGAAAATGAAATGTGAAAAGGGCACAGTTTAACTCCTTAAGGTAAGATGGTGTGCCAGAACCCCCTCGAACCATAAGAAATTAACTGCGATGAAGTTATGGTGCCAGGAGGGTCCCTTTAAAAGAATCCCACAAATCAATCTATACATTGTGTTAGAGAACTGTCAGGCAATACCAGCGCAATGTATAGATGAAATGCATACGTATACGCCCTTCAAGGATGACATGTCATTTTAATACCTTAACTACTGCATATGGCAAATTACGAATACGGTCATTTTCCCCATGACTTTAAACTAAGTTGGCCTTTACTGTGATTTAAAAAAAAAAAAAGAAGATAAGGGGGCGGAGCCTAGCTTCCTAGCAGAGTGGACGTGCTGCACGATAGCGCCTGCAAGCCAGCCACTAAAACGGGGGATATACCCCAAATAATCGCACGCACACCGCTGGGAAGGTGACTACAGAGTGGGGGAGACCCGGGAAAACGTTTTGATACCAAACTTGAACCCACAACTCACCGGGTCCCCACGATTCCAGCGTGAGGCCTAACTGCAATCGAGCCGGGGAGAGGCGGCCGCTCTCCTGGATAGTAACTTTGCAGATGGCAACCTCACCGTACTCACCTCTAATCCCCCCCCCCCCGGACCGGTGGGGGTTATCCCGGTCCTCGCTGGGTGCCACAGGCAGCCGGCCACCATTGCTTCCAATCACCATGAGGCAGCAAGGTACACCCAAGATGGCGGAGGATGGCGGCCGGCACAAGCGAACGCAGACCCTATGCACCAAGCATCCCCAACACAGCTTGCGGCGCCTAGATGCTCACTGCAGCCAGCACGGGGCCAAACAACGAACTAAACAGCAAGCAGCCCAGCCGCCAAGGTATGCAGAGGCCCACACGAGTGAACGGTGCCAAAAGTGCAGGGAGACCGCGACAACGGCTTACCGTGACCTGCTGGAAGGCACACGCGACTACCCCACAGAGGGAATTGGCTGACGACTTCGCGGCATGGCAGGGCTTGAGGCCACCGCTGGAACTGTGATTCTAAGCGAGCAGACGGCCACACACTGAGCCCTCCAAACCAGAGTGAACTCATACCTTCTACTGAAGCACATGCCTAATAGTTATACTCTGCATCTGTGTCTTGTACTTTCCTTTTCGAGCCATACCACACATAGCTTCACTATATCTGCACCCAGCGATACCGTAACCTAGCTTTGAATCACTAATTTGTCAAACCTACTTTATCAATATGCTGCCAGTTTCATAGCCTGTTGTAAAACATATACCTAAAGCCTGGCTAGTCAAACGTTTATCTGTTGCTCCACTCTATGCTTAACTCTCTTGTGGAATGTCTCTTCCTAAATGTGGCATAGAGGGATGTAACCGCTGTTTTTCTTATGTTCTCTATATTAAAAAATTGTGCATGTCAAATCTACAGTAAAACTCAGCCAGAGGACTGCCTTTGGGGCACCTCAGGCCTGTAGGTCATTCTATATTGCACTGCAAAAAAAAAAAAAAAAAAGAAAACAAAATGATCATGATCTTGAGGAAGTCACTAATTTCTTATAGCCAAAAACACTATGTGATCGAGGGGACGGTCCTCTTTTTTACAATGGACAGTTTCTATATAGATAGCAACTATACCGAAAGCGGTTACGTCCAGCTCAGTGCAGATAGTTGCATGGTAAAACAGAGAAAACGCTTATATATACAGACAGGTTTAAAGGATCATTAAAGGGACACTACAGTCATCAAACGAACCAGTTTTAGTGTATAGATCATGCCCCTGCAGTCCCACTGCTCAATTCTCTGCTACTTAGGAGTTAAATCACTTTGTTTATGCAACCCTGGCCACACATCATTGCATGTGACTTGCACAGCCCCCATAAACACTTCCTGTAAAGAGTCATCTAATGTTTACACTCCCCTTTATTGCAAATCCTGCTTAATTTAGATTTTCTCATCTCCTGCTCTGTTAATAGCTTGCTAGACCGTGCAGTAGCCTCCTGTATGTAATTTAAGTTCAATTTACAGAGCAGGAGATAACTTTTAAAGTAAATTACATCTGATTGAAAATGCCAGTGACAGCAAGGGGAGGTGTGACTAAGCTGCATAAACAGAACCAACAGTGATTTAACTCCTAAATGGTAGAGAATTGAGCCGTGAGACTGCAGGGGCATGATCTATACACAAAAACGGCTTCATTAAGTAAACGTTGTATTGGTGACTATAGTATCCCTTTAAGCAGAACATGAAATGATAAAGAGACAATACTACTGTATAAGGTTCTGGCCAAGCAAAGCAATGATTAAAAATGTTTAACAATGCATGTGCTCAAAGAAACTCTGCAAAATGCAGGTTTCGTCGTCCTTGCTTAAAAAGGGACACCCCAAGCATCCTAACATTACAGCTCTTTGTATCGCAGCAGCTTGTTATACAGGTTAATGTTACAGAACCGGTGCAGTCCCTCTTCTTCTAAGCAGTTTGGAAAAACATTGAGGATTCCCCCAGCTTGCCACCTGTGTGTGGGATTTTGAAGATATATTTCGCCTTCTTCATCATATACCCCCCCACCCAATATTTGGTTGTGACAAATTACATTAACCGTTCAGGAACCACTGAACAGACTCAGCCCCAGTCTCTGTTATCCATACCAATATTTGACCTAAATAGAGGGGATGATGGGCTTTGGGTGCCAGAGAATTCTCTTCAGTGTCAAACCATTAAAAAAAAAAAAACCAAAAAACAGTTAAGGTAAAGGATACACATAATTCTATACATGGTATATACAATACTGCACGTACTTTGCCTCTGGATCTGGGGACCGTCAAGGCTTCTTTGGGGGGTGCCAGTTTGGAATGTGGGGCTCAGCAACACATATTTGCTCTTTAAGCTTTCTAGCTGATAGTAGAAGCTTTTGCTGGCCGGCTCAAACTCAATCTTCTGCAGAAGGATCTTCTTAGCGGACGAAGAGAGCAGCTTGCCTAGCTCAACGTCCTCCGAGTCCTTTCGGCCCGGTTTCAGGGCATCTTTCAGCTTCTCCACGATGGGCATGGTTCATCACTGACAGGAGAGAGAAAATAAAGTTAATTAGCCTGGACAGGTCCAAACATAGCCCACTGCGTCTCCTCACTTCTCCCACATCAAAACACTCACTTAGCTGCTCCTGAAAAGGAGTATAGCCTGAGGCTTTCTGAAGGACAACACATAGCAAGTCAACGGTTTAGGAGGCAGGTTGACAATGTCACAGAGTTATCTCCCCCTCTTAATGAAAATAAATGTAAAAATCCCTCACCTAACAATGCTTGTCCCACTGTGTGCCCTTGTGACAGCCTTGTCTCCCCTTGTGACAGCCTTGTCTCTTGAGCAACGGTTCCAGGGAAGAAGTAGGATTATGGATGCTGCTGAAAACCAAGGTCAGGGAGCTGACATGGGATTGTGAATCATTCTTGCGTTTGATAGGCCAGTGTTTAAACAATACTCGTGTGGATGCAGCCTGCCTGCATCAGGACCAGCCCCTCCCCCACTCCATCACAACAAGCTCCCTCTCGGTAAAACTCACACATTGCAAGACTGTCTATACGGGCTCGCTGCGGTCTCTTCACATACGAGTGTCGTAAAATGAAAGCAGGTCCAAGCACCAAGAAAACATCTGTGACAAACTGATAGTTACTGCAGTGAAGGCATGCCCAACACAGAGTGACAGAATCCTGAGCCAACCATGGAATCGAGGTACCAGCTATATACAGACACTACATGGGGTGTCTCAGCCAATAGCTGCAGCACAGGGGCGGGAAAAGCAGGGAAAATGCTCTAAACGCCTACACACAGGGGACACACAAAACAAACACATTGTGGCACCAAAGATATTACACAATGTACATGCTGTTACAGGTAGTGATCATTACAGTAATCAACTAGACCGACGCTCCAATAATATTTCTTATCACGGCTAAAGCACAAAAATCTGCATCATTACAAAAAGACAAAACACACCATAGCCTCCTCACAACAATCAAAGCATCGAGTTGTTATTGCATAACAGTATATATAGCATGACAGTACCAAACCATCATAACAAGCACAGCATCACAGTGTCAGTATCAGTCACTAAGTGGGCTGTACACAGACACTAACATTTGCTCCCAACAATAATTTGTAGCCATTACACCAAGGCTTAGTAAAAGGCATTGAAATGGTTAATGAATGAAATGGAAACAAGAGCGTTAAATACAATGAGACAGCTAGACTGACAGTGTTAAACCCTGCAGCTCTCTCAGCCTTGACATGGAGTTTTAATGGTCAGATGTCGAGTGAAATGACCAAATCCCAGGGCACAGAGGCAGAACTCACCATTATAGATTAGATTATTAATGGTGCACTTTCATATTGAAATAATTATGCACCAAATATCTAAGCATGGGTCTTATTTAATTGCGCCAACAAACGTAAACTGAATCTTACTGGGTGATAAAGGAGCGTTTTTTTTTATAAAATCAGAATGTTGACGATTTATTAATCCGATAAGGATCAATGACATTCCAAGACATTGTGAAAATTCTGATCTTTTAACACGTTGCGTCAGCAGTGAGTGCCCTGACAATACCACATTAGACATGTGTCTGTTAGGACACAAACATTACCAACCAGGAGGCACCCAAAAAACACACTACGCAAATATTATATTCATATTACACACATTCATCTCTAGAACCCAGAAACATAACCAGAGTAACATGAAGCACAATAGTCACTTGAAACAGGGCTCCATCTTGGACCAATCTGCATTAGGATTAATAAACCCAGATACTCGAATAGCAGCCGCAAAGAAAAAGAGCGTGTTTGTGGTCACATGGGCATTACAGGAGTTAAGGTTCTATAACATAGGGCAGCATGCGTGTGCTCGCTGATCTGTGGAATATTAAATTAAATTACAGCCCTAGTGTAAGAGATAAACACATTTAAGCCGATAGTGGTGAGAAAGACAAGGGGCTTAGGGGGTAGTCTGCAGACATGTACTGCCCACATCTACTATCAGCAAAATAAGGACAATACATCCTCATCGTGACCCAGGGCATCAGTAGGCAACTGTCACTGAGACAGGCCAAATCCTGAGGTTTGTCAAGCTCTGCACTGTATACATGGTCAGGCAATGACGCAGGACCAAGCCATAAAACAAAAAGTGGGACTTCTGTTGGCTTTTATTGAGAGGGAAAAAAACATTGCCATCAAAACCACAACTGTTCTGCTGTACCAAAGTTCATCGATGGTAGCCAACAAGATCTTGTGGCTTTAAAAGAGAACGACTGTATAGGTTATCATAAAGTGTAAATGCGCTGGAAGGATCTGGCAATGCCAAGGCATAATGATTCCAACACTCCTCCATGCACGATTTGCTGTCTATAGCACTAACAGCTCCTTGTAAAGGTTTATGGGATATGAGCAGGGTTCCAATACAAATCAATAGAAGCATCATGACTTCCTGAGATATGTAGTCGCTGCAGATGTAGCATACCCGAGAGAACATTTATCTGTATATTTGTAATTTAAATCATCAAAAAACAGACAGAGAAACTTCGGATTCAGCTGATATATTCATAGAGGGCCTTTGTAGCACTTTTTTCACTGATAAACTCACTTTGTATATTTGTACCTAGCACTACACTCGTGAGAAACTGAGGATTTAAGTGGTAGAATATATCAGCTGAATCCAAAGTTTCTCTGTCTGTTTTTTGGTGATTTTCTATGTGTGGGGGTTGTAGCCTGTGGGCTGCCAGGGTTCTTTTTGCTACTAAAGTGATTTAGTTGCATAATTTTTGTTCACGTTGGGTCAGTCCCTCTAGGGGCTTGGAAAGCAAAAACAAACATGGGTCCAGCTCGAACGGCCTACTGAAGATATCCTTAAGACGGGGCTGAACTTCCCCCCAGTAGCGTGTCAAAGCAGGGCAAACCCACCAAATATGTGAGTATGTCCCCCTCAGCCTGTACATCCTCCAAAAGTTAGAGGGGTGTACACCCATTTTAAGCAGGTGTACGGGGGTGGTATGCCACCTGAAGCATATACATTTGTTCTTGTGAGGTGACACACATGGAGACCTTCGCTGCAGCTTCCCACATATCCTTCCATTCATCACCATCAAGGCCCCCCCAAGTCTCTCTCTCTCTCACTGACCAACATATCGCAGGGGGCCCCACACATCAGCGTGTGAACATATTGCTGCGTATATTTCAGTAATAAGGCCCTTACGAGGCTTTCCCTGATGACAAAGCATCTCAAAGAAAGTGGGTTTAGTTCTTTAGTCCCTAGTACCTCCTCTTTTTGGGCGTAATCCCTGATTGCAAGTATCTAAAATAGTCATGGTTGGTAAATTGGGCTCTCTGTTTCAGGGTGGAGAAAGTCACCAGTTCATGTTCCCAGAGGTTAAAAAGCTTCTGTAGTCCCACGTCTTCTAAGTTTCCAAATCCCTGAGGAGCCATTCCCGGAGGAAAGTCCCTGTTCCGTTGAAGTGGCACCAACGGGGAGGGTTTAGCACAGAGGCCGAACTTATACCTGACCGTATCCTAGATAGTAAGGGAATTAAGTATTCCTGGGCACTCGGTTTGGAGCAGAGCTCGCTGGGACCTCGCCAACCACATATAGAACATGGGAAGGTCAGAGCCCATAAGCACTGACTCTAGGACAATTTTATATTTCTATTAAGAGTCTGATTTTGGCACCGATATATTAAACAAAGAGCTTAACATGTTTTCCTTAAATGCAGGAGCTAAAAAATATATATATAAAAAAATAAAATCAGATGCTGCATGCGCTTAATTACTTGTACTCATACAAATACGTTATCCCAGCCACCCCTTCCTAATTAATCAGCTACCCTTACATACATACGACTTTTTGGGCAGCCACCTATTTAGCAAAACACACAAAACGAACTACTAACCCAAACATCTAGTAGGTAAGAAAACTAGAAGAATCTCTCAAAGAAACTTTGGCATATGCCCCATGCAATGTATAAAGTAACAGTTGGCACCATGCAGTCAGGCAGATAGTGTACACCTGGCACTCACCAAAATAACCTGGAAAACTATAGGTAGTGAAATGTGATTCTTTACTCCAGAGAGCACATTGCACATGGTGATCGTGGCCCTGCGTGTAGTTACCTCACCATGGAAACCTAATTCACTGAGGTACATAAGAATGGCTCTACTGTGAATGTGATGGCATATAGCCGTGGGTCTTAAGTGGAACAATATGCATTGTGGTGGACCGCCTGGCATCCCAACTGGATACCTCTGCCAATCGCTGCTTCCTAGTATCCCTGTGTACTATAAGCACCGCAGTCCCCTTAGCCGCCGCAGCTTGGCTGGGGATTCGCCGTTCCTTCCCACCCTAGACCAACACCTGGATCCAGCTCCCAGTGGGAAGACCTCTCCTCCAAGAGAGTATAGCTGTATAGTAATCCAAAGAGCAGTATAGAAAGTGATTATAGTAGGTATAGCTTTCCCCCCCACACATGAAACGAGGTTCTGTGCTGTGGGTGAACTGATTTATTGGGAGCCATACATGGCCTTTTATGCAACTCCCCATGCAAAGGGTTTCCTAAAATCACATTCCAGGGGAATTCCTCCGCTGGACCTGATAGAGAACTAGTTGCCAGCAAACATCTGAATTAAATTATCTCCCTGTACAGAAAACATGCAATATAACAATACCTCAAAAGTACCCCCAAAACACATGAAAACTCCACATCCCCTGATAGCCCCGATCTGGGTGACCAACATATCCAAAAATCACCCAGATCGGTTCAGGGGTTCGGGAATTTCATGGAAGTCAATTATTTGACCAACCGTGCACATGGTCCTATGCCCGAACATGGTCAATAGTCTTAGCCTGGAGCTTGTTCCCCTAGTTCGTGGGAACGTTTCCAAACAGTACCCTACTAAGTGGTGTACAACCAAATGCAGGTGATGCTAGAAGTCCAGCGGTGTTCGGGAGTTTCTGTGTCCGATTTCAGTTCCATGAGATTCATTCCCAAACACCACTGCTTGCGTTCACGGGAACAAGACGGCCGCCACCTCGTGGTTGTTCATGCGAACAGCAGCCACCCAGACGGAACAATTAGAACACTGCGGTGGAACGTGTTACAAACGGTCAATTAGGCTTAACAAGCTCCTGGGTGGTCCATGGTTCGTATGCATGTTCGGTTCCCAAACAGAATAGATAAAGTGTATGAACAAAGTATTTTATGAGCCTTTTGCATGGCCCATAGTCTTGAGGCAGGAAGCTGGCAAGCAGGCCCCTCCAAGAACACGTGGCAGAGGCATTTCTGCAACATGCACCATAACCACAACAGCTCACTGTAGTTTGTATGATGTGAACAGTCTCTGTTTGTGGCCCCAGATGTTTTTTGTCAAGCTGCTTTGGTATGAGAAAACACAGGACTCTCCCTAGTGCCCAGAGACGACCCCTTCTTCAGCTAACTGCACTGATAATGAATGTCTGGCATTATAGGCTGAGGGTGCTGTGGGTGGTATAACACCACCAGACTCTCCGTACTATAGTCTAGAGTAGACCTTGCAGTAGTAGTCTCTTTTCAGAGATTACCACTCTTTTGACAGGGATTTAAATGATATTACATTAACTTGGTGACTCAGTCCAAGTGTAAAACCACTACCAGGGAAATCAGAAAGACTACAGTAATCAATGTATTGTGGGATTTGTCAGGTCCGACATTTGGGGTCTGACTGAAATAACATGAAATAACATGGGGTCCAAGAGAATAAAGGACCGCTAAATGCATCTCAATGACGTGGTCTGGGTGCAGTGACCCTGTAATGTAAAACCTTTGGCAGATGGATTAAACACACAGCTAGTGGCCGTCTTCCTGACAGTCACTAGAGGCTCTTCCTATGCAAAAACCGCGTCAAACCTGATCATGTGATGTTCAATGTCCATGAGAATGTTAAACATCAAATACAGCTCGTAGCAAAGCATCAAATTCAATCCTTTCCTAAGAGAAGCACTGGACGGCACACTCCACACACGTTCATCTCATGCCCAATGTTCATCTAACAGAAGCATTCCATTGGATGATTGCTGAGGAAGCAATGCCTTTACTATAATGTTGTGAGAGGCGAAGTGGGCAGCAGCACCAAAGGAGTCCCAATGCTAGGGGAAAAAAAAGTAATTTGTATTTCCCCAATCTAATAAGGGTTGGGGGACTATAGTATTAGGAATACAGATTTTATTCCCGATTCCATAGTGGTCGTCTAATGGGGCAACCTAAGCACCATAGATCCCTCGGTACCATTCCCTGGGTAAGAATCAACTTGTTTTAATGGTTTCACACATACCCAGGTGTCCATGGTCCAGGCCCCTCTTCCTAAGGATAACTGTAGCCATGTTTGCAGACAGGACCACAACGCAGGTGGGCAGAGAATCCAGGTTAGTGCCAGTTTTTTCGCAAACTGTTTGACTCTTACCATAACAACTATGTCACTGTAGTGGTTTGAGGGCATAGACTGTCACTTTAAGAATGACTGCAATAGAAATATAATGTCTGTGAATCTCCTCAATAGATTTTAAAGTACTTTTGTGCAGAACAACATACGAAAAAGATTTTTGACACCTACCAAAACCCATATTTGTTACCTGACAGGGTTTCTGAGTGAGAGAAAAGGCCTGGTTGCTTGGTTACGCGTCCTTTTGCTTTATCTTTGATGGTGAAGTGCTACACTGTAGCTGGGGTGAGCGATTACAAGTGTTTAAGTTGAAGAATGTCACAATGATCTGTTGCATAATTGACTGTGCCAGTGAAAACCAGACCATCTGAAAATCAGGAACATCACTCAGTGGACTAATGATCTACATGCATTTGGGTCTCATTCCTGTTTATATATAGTATTATTTTATATGGTACAAACTGTCTTTAGTAAAATACACAGCCACTGGCTTCCAGCATCAGACTAACATGTACAAAACATACGTTTTACTGTTCAAACCAATATAAGAGCACTGAGTGATGTAGTATATTAATGCCTTTATGAATTTCAGACATGACGTTTGATCATGGAGTGAACTTGTTTATTGAAAACTCAGCGTTCAACATTCCAGTGAGGTCCCTGTACAATCTCCTCGGTGGATGTGTTTAGTTTTTAATTGAGCCACAGGAGCCAGGATGTTATTTATGGTGTTATGACCCAGAAACACCATATAACAGTCTGGAAAAGCCTGGCTGATTCAACTAATGTTACTGTACCATGAGAACACATCTGTTTAAGAGTATTTTGGATGGTTGCACAGCTACAACACAAGTTGCAATGCAGTTATTTTTGATGAGCATAAATCATTAATAAAGTCTGTAACAGCTGCTGCCCTTAATATTAAGATGCAAGTGATGGTTGTAGCCGCTTTGTATGTGATTATTTGCACTGGCCCAGCAAATGAAAGACTGATGGGAAAAGTGTTTCTCAATTTTGTATAATGGAGAGCAAAAAAATGGGTCGCAAGAGTATTCGGAGAATGGGCAGCAGCTAAATTGGCCTGCCCTTCGGTGGTTCCCCGCTCAGAACTCAAGCTGGTTTTAGCTTATCTTGTGCCATTACAGAGAGAACATATCTGAAGCATATCAGACTGGTCCAGCCCAGATCCGAAATGCCAACAAGTTCCCTCTGCACGAGAGACATAGCAACCCCAGATGATTGTTTCTGCCATGTTAGGCAACATCAGTGAGGTATAGCTGATATCCCTATAGGCAACGTGAGCAAGGGATCCACGTCTGTCAGCGTGCTTTTAATACCAATACCACAAAAATAACGGATGGCTTGTGGACTACAAATCCCATAATGTACAGCCAGACTCTGAATGACAGGCAATACAGACCACGGTAGCTGAGACGTAACCAGTTATTAGCTTTATTGGTTCTCTCATCCGTGGGATGCACCATGCATTACTGGACAGGTACCATTCCACATAATGCGGGAAAACCAATTAAAAGAGCCACGCCACAGATCTCATTAGACCTGGAGTCAAGGTGGAGCCTGTGAATTATACATAGTGTATAGTGACTGAGGCAGCCTCAGCCTCATAACTGTGGGGTGGGGGGTCTAACATTCTCTGGCAGCACTGACACAGTTAAGCTACTCTTGGTGTATTGTGAAACACCATCCAGAGACTGTGAGTGTCCACTCGATTAGTGAGGGATGGTGCCACCTAAAAACCTCAAATCTGTAAATGTCAATTCAGTGACCCTGTGAGTGTGCACTCAGTGAGGGGGTGACCCAGTGCACTCAGGGAGGTGATGGCACTGTGAGTGTGCCCTCAGGGAGGTGATGGCACTGTGAGTGTGCCCTCAGGGAGGTGATGGCACTGTGAGTGTGCCCTCAGGGAGGTGATGGCACTGTGAGTGTGCCCTCAGTGAGGATGGCACTGTGAGTGTGCCCTCAGTGAGGATGGCACTGTGAGTGTGCCCTCAGTGAGGATGGCACTGTGAGTGTGCCCTCAGTGAGGATGGCAATGTGAGTGTGCCCTCAGTGAGGATGGCACTGTGAGTGTGCCCTCAGTGAGGTGATGACCCAGTGAGTGTGCACTGAGGGAGGTGGTGACCCTGTGAGTGTGCCCTCAGTGAGGTGGTGGCACTGTGAGTGTGCCCTCAGTGAGGTGATGACCCTGTGAGTGTGCCCTCAGTGAGGTGATGACCCTGTGAGTGTGCCCTCAGTGAGGTGATGGCACTGTGAGTGTGCCCTCAGTGAGGTGATGGCACTGTGAGTGTGCCCTCAGTGAGGTGGTGGCACTGTGAGTGTGCCCTCAGGTGAGGTGATGGCACTGTGAGTGTGCCCTCAGTGAGGTAATGGCACTGTGAGTGTGCCCTCAGTGAGGTGATGGCACTGTGAGTGTGCACTCAGTGAGGTGGTGGCACTGTGAGTGTGCCCTCAGGGAGGTGATGGCACTGTGAGTGTGCCCTCAGGGAGGTGATGACCCTGTGAGTGTGCCCTCAGTGAGGTGATGGCACTGTGAGTGTGCACTCAGTGAGGTGGTGGCACTGTGAGTGTGCCCTCAGGGAGGTGATGACCCTGTGAGTGTGCCCTCAGTGAGGTGATGGCACTGTGAGTGTGCCCTCAGGGAGGTGATGACCCTGTGAGTGTGCCCTCAGTGAGGTGATGGCACTGTGAGTGTGCACTCAGTGAGGTGGTGGCACTGTGAGTGTGCCCTCAGGGAGGTGATGACCCTGTGAGTGTGCACTCAGTGAGGTGGTGGCACTGTGAGAGTGCCCTCAGGGAGGTGGTTACCCTGTGAGTGTGCACTCAGTGAGGTGATGGCACTGTGAGTGTGCCCTCAGTGAGGTGATGGCACTGTGAGTGTGCACTCAGTGAGGTGATGGCACTGTGAGTGTGCCCTCAGGGAGGTGGTGACCCTGTGAGTGTGCACTCAGTGAGTGAGAGAATGACGCTGCCAGGCGGAGCCCGGGTCAGTGTGCGATATTAGTACATAGCCGAGATATATCCCATGTGTTACTCACTGCGCCTCGCGCTCCCTTGCTTGCTTGGGATCTACTTCCGTCTTCCGGCACGCGTCACATCCGGTGGGGGGGGAGGGGGGGGGTGCAAGGTCTGCTTAAAGGGCCAGTAACCTCCCTGCACTCAGAGATATCATTTATCAGGGCTGCCAGTCAGACCCAGCCTGGCTCCCTGGGCATTATATATAATATATACTGATAGGCAACATAGTAACATTACTGACTGCTGTATGTGGCATTCACATGCTGCTGGAGGACAATCAGTTAAAGGGCCACACTCAGTGTGCATGGTATGGCTGTGCAGTATGAGGAGGTCATAGAGTATCCTGCACTCAGAGATATCATTTATCAGGACTGCCAGTCAGACCCAGCCTGGCTCCCTGGGCATTATATATAATATATACTGATAGGCAACATAGTAACATTACTGACTGCTGTATGTGGCATTCACATGCTGCTGGAGGACAATCAGTTAAAGGGCCACACTCAGTGTGCATGGTAAGGCTGTGCAGTATGAGGAGGTCATAGAGTAACCTGCACTCAGAGATATCATTTATCAGGGCTGCCAGTCAGACCCAGCCTGGCTCCCTGGGCATTATATATAATATATACTGATAGGCAGCATAGTAACATTACTGACTGCTGTATGTGGCATTCACATGCTGCTGGAGGACAATCAGTTAAAGGGCCACACTCAGTGAGCATGGTAAGGCTGTGCAGTATGAGGAGGTCATAGAGTAACCTGCACTCAGAGATATCATTTATCAGGACTGCCAGTCAGACCCAGCCTGGCTCCCTGGGCATTATATATAATATATACTGATAGGCTGCATAGTAACATTACTGACTGCTGTATGTGGCATTCACATGCTGCTGGAGGACAATCAGTTAAAGGGCCACACTCAGTGTGCATGGTAAGGCTGTGCAGTATGAGGAGGTCATAGAGTAACCTGCACTCAGAGATATCATTTATCAGGACTGCCAGTCAGACCCAGCCTGGCTCCCTGGGCATTATATATAATATATACTGATAGGCTGCATAGTAACATTACTGACTGCTGTATGTGGCATTCCCATGCTGCTGGAGGACAATCAGTTAAAGGGCCACACTCAGTGAGCATGGTAAGGCTGTGCAGTATGAGGAGGTCATAGAGTAACCTGCACTCAGAGATATCATTTATCAGGACTGCCAGTCAGACCCAGCCTGGCTCCCTGGGCATTATATATAATATATACTGATAGGCAGCATAGTAACATTACTGACTGCTGTATGTGGCATTCACATGCTGCTGGAGGACAATCAGTTAAAGGGCCACACTCAGTGTGCATGGTAAGGCTGTGCAGTATGAGGAGGTCATAGAGTAACCTGCACTCAGAGATATCATTTATCAGGACTGCCAGTCAGACCCAGCCTGGCTCCCTGGGCATTATATATAATATATACTGATAGGCAGCATAGTAACATTACTGACTGCTGTATGTGGCATTCACATGCTGCTGGAGGACAGTCAGTTAAAGGGCCACACTCAGTGTGCATGGTAAGGCTGTGCAGTATGAGGAGGTCATAGAGTAACCTGCACTCAGAGATATCATTTATCAGGACTGCCAGTCAGACCCATCCTGGCTCCCTGGGCATTATATATAATATATACTGATAGGCAGCATAGTAACATTACTGACTGCTGTATGTGGCATTCACATGCTGCTGGAGGACAATCAGTTAAAGGGCCACACTCAGTGAGCATGGTAAGGCTGTGCAGTATGAGGAGGTCATAGAGTAACCTGCACTCAGAGATATCATTTATCAGGACTGCCAGTCAGACCCAGCCTGGCTCCCTGGGTATTATATATAATATATACTGATAGGCAGCATAGTAACATTACTGACTGCTGTATGTGGCATTCACATGCTGCTGGAGGACAGTCAGTTAAAGGGCCACACTCAGTGAGCATGGTAAGGCTGTGCAGTATGAGGAGGTCATAGAGTAACCTGCACTCAGAGATATCATTTATCAGGACTGCCAGTCAGGCCAGCTGGCTCCTAGGTATTATATATAATATATACTGATAGGCTGCATAGTAACATTACTTTTCCCAGATACAACATCTAGCGGCATTCCCATGCTGCTGGAGGACAATCAGACTAAAGGGCCACCTCCAGTGTGCATGGTAAAACTGTGCAGTATGAGGAGGTCATAAGAGTAACCTGCACTCAGAGATATCATTTATAGGACTGCCAGTCAGACCCATCACAGCTCCTAGGCATTATATATAATATATACTGATAGGCAGCATAGTAACATTACTGACTGCTGTATGTGGCATTCACATGCTGCTGGAGGACAATCAGTTAAAGGGCCACACTCAGTGAGCATGGTAAGGCTGTGCAGTATGAGGAGGTCATAGAGTAACCTGCACTCAGAGATATCATTTATCAGGGCTGCCAGTCAGACCCAGCCTGGCTCCCTGGGCATTATATATAATATATACTGATAGGCAGCATAGTAACATTACTGACTGCTGTATGTGGCATTCACATGCTGCTGGAGGACAATCAGTTAAAGGGCCACACTCAGTGTGCATGGTAAGGCTGTGCAGTATGAGGAGGTCATAGAGTAACCTGCACTCAGAGATATCATTTATCAGGGCTGCCAGTCAGACCCAGCCTGGCTCCCTGGGCATTATATATAATATATACTGATAGGCTGCATAGTAACATTACTGACTGCTGTATGTGGCATTCCCATGCTGCTGGAGGACAATCAGTTAAAGGGCCACACTCAGTGTGCATGGTAAGGCTGTGCACTATGCTGAGGTCATAGAGTAACCTGCACTCAGAGATATAATTTATCAGGACTGCCAGTCAGACCCAGCCTGGCTCCCTGGGCATTATATATAATATACACTGATAGGCAGCATAGTAACATTACTGACTGCTGTATGTGGCATTCCCATGCTGCTGGAGGACAATCAGTTAAAGGGCCACACTCAGTGTGCATGGTAAGGCTGTGCACTATGCTGAGGTCATAGAGTAACCTGCACTCAGAGATATCATTTATCAGGACTGCCAGTCAGACCCAGCCTGGCTCCCTGGGCATTATATATAATATATACTGATAGGCAACATAGTAACATTACTGACTGCTGTATGTGGCATTCACATGCTGCTGGAGGACAATCAGTTAAAGGGCCACACTCAGTGTGCATGGTAAGGCTGTGCAGTATGAGGAGGTCATAGAGTAACCTGCACTCAGAGATATCATTTATCAGGGCTGCCAGTCAGACCCAGCCTGGCTCCCTGGGCATTATATATAATATATACTGATAGGCTGCATAGTAACATTACTGACTGCTGTATGTGGCATTCCCATTCTGCTGGAGGACAATCAGTTAAAGGGCCACACTCAGTGTGCATGGTAAGGCTGTGCAGTATGAGGAGGTCATAGAGTAACCTGCACTCAGAGATATCATTTATCAGGGCTGCCAGTCAGACCCAGCCTGGCTCCCTGGGCATTATATATAATATATACTGATAGGCAGCATAGTAACATTACTGACTGCTGTATGTGGCATTCCCATGCTGCTGGAGGACAATCAGTTAAAGGGCCACACTCAGTGTGCATGGTAAGGCTGTGCAGTATGAGGAGGTCATAGAGTAACCTGCACTCAGAGATATCATTTATCAGGGCTGCCAGTCAGACCCCGCCTGGCTCCCTGGGCATTATATATAATATACACTGATAGGCAGCATAGTAACATTACTGACTGCTGTATGTGGCATTCCCATGCTGCTGGAGGACAATCAGTTAAAGGGCCACACTCAGTGTGCATGGTAAGGCTGTGCACTATGCTGAGGTCATAGAGTAACCTGCACTCAGAGATATCATTTATCAGGACTGCCAGTCAGACCCAGCCTGGCTCCCTGGGCATTATATATAATATATACTGATAGGCAACATAGTAACTTTACTGACTGCTGTATGTGGCATTCACATGCTGCTGGAGGACAATCAGTTAAAGGGCCACACTCAGTGTGCATGGTAAGGCTGTGCAGTATGAGGATGTCATAGAGTAACCTGCACTCAGAGATATCATTTATCAGGACTGCCAGTCAGACCCAGCCTGGCTCCCTGGGTATTATATATAATATATACTGATAGGCTGCATAGTAACATTACTGACTGCTGTATGTGGCATTCCCATGCTGCTGGAGGACAATCAGTTAAAGGGCCACACTCAGTGTGCATGGTAAGGCTGTGCAGTATGAGGAGGTCATAGAGTAACCTGCACTCAGAGATATCATTTATCAGGACTGCCAGTCAGACCCAGCCTGGCTCCCTGGGCATTATATATAATATATACTGATAGGCAGCATAGTAACATTACTGACTGCTGTATGTGGCATTCACATGCTGCTGGAGGACAATCAGTTAAAGGGCCACACTCAGTGAGCATGGTAAGGCTGTGCAGTATGAGGAGGTCATAGAGTAACCTGCACTCAGAGATATCATTTATCAGGGCTGCCAGTCAGACCCAGCCTGGCTCCCTGGGCATTATATATAATATATACTGATAGGCAGCATAGTAACATTACTGACTGCTGTATGTGGCATTCACATGCTGCTGGAGGACAATCAGTTAAAGGGCCACACTCAGTGTGCATGGTAAGGCTGTGCAGTATGAGGAGGTCATAGAGTAACCTGCACTCAGAGATATCATTTATCAGGGCTGCCAGTCAGACCCAGCCTGGCTCCCTGGGTATTATATATAATATATACTGATAGGCTGCATAGTAACATTACTGAATGCTGTATGTGGCATTCCCATGCTGCTGGAGGACAATCAGTTAAAGGGCCACACTCAGTGTGCATGGTAAGGCTGTGCAGTATGAGGAGGTCATAGAGTAACCTGCACTCAGAGATATCATTTATCAGGACTGCCAGTCAGACCCAGCCTGGCTCCCTGGGCATTATATATAATATATACTGATAGGCAGCATAGTAACATTACTGACTGCTGTATGTGGCATTCACATGCTGCTGGAGGACA